TTGGAAACACGTGAGGCGTAACAATATCGGATTGCTTCTTGGGTAAGGTCTGAGATTATAAATTAGACATATCAGATCGAATCTCCAATGCTTGGCTAAACGTGTCAGGAATACGTTTGCACGACTTGTATAACGATTGAGATAAAACGATGACATCGAAATGTGATTGATTAGTTATCTATACAGAAACCAAACAAAAAGCATCATTAAAGTTCTTTATGTCTGTTTGTAAATTTATATATATATATATATATATATATATATATATATATATATCAAATATAAAAATATAAATCTTCAAAACCTTCGAACCTGCTGCTTACACTAAGGTATTATAGAAACCGATATTTTTCATGGAGAGAAAACGAGGTAGGAATTCACTCACTGATGCTGCAGCTTCAGATGTCTTACTCGGGACGGGACATACTCAAAGTTAATACGAATTTACTTCAAGATCCATATAGGTACGTTAGACACGCTTGTGGCGGCGCCACCGTTTGACACATTTCCCATGATGCATCGCAGGATTGAAATGCCTCTTTCTATGATACCTTAGCTTACAGTTAACGAAGAGCTTTACTTTCGCCCTGTAGTAGGAGCTGCCACTACATAGGGTGTTAATCAATAAAGAGACGTTATCAAACTATCAGGTAAACAGAGCGAGTAAGCAGGCCAAGGCGTTTCGAGCCACCTGTTCTATTTAAAAAGAAAGCCTTGAAAAATTTCGTTTGGTCCATCGACGTGTTTCACGGTAATATACAGAGAGGATTTATTGGTGGAATAGAAATAATACGGAAATCTAGATAAGATATATGATGGATCCTTTAAGGATTCTATGGAGATAGTCAATCTATTCAGTGGTACTTGATGATATTCAATACGAAGCATCCCTCGTAATCACGTATTTAATTGGAGGTTTAACGCAAGAGAGATAGGAAAAGCTTTTTGAACAAGGTGTACTTGCTTATGACAAATCTCGATTTACTAAGGATGACTGATAAGGGGTATATATGTCAGTAGCTTGTTTGTATTGCCTTTAGTATGCGATAGGTATATATATATATATATATATATATATATATATATATATATATATATATATGGGATGATAGTTTTTTTAAGAGACGTTGGAAATGAGCCACGTCCCTTTTTCAAGGAATAAATGCATTCTGACGTGAGTCGCATCGCGCTGTGGATTTTTACAAATTTTACTGCTATACGGTCCCGTTTTCATTTGACGACAGAATGAAACGCGATAGCGAACACAGGGTAGGTTGGATTTTAAGGCTTTGCACGTGTTCTCATGGATATTCTGGTCGCGATCGGAAAAGAAGAAACTCATAAAATTTGTAATGTCTCGAATCTCAATTTCAGTTCATCCCTTAGATTACATAGGGGTACAAGGTCAATGGGAAAAAGGTAATCGCCTTAATCAAAACTTCGATACTTTTATCATCGATCACGACTCCTACTAGATCATAGGGGCTTATATCCTCACAAGGTTTTGATTTCGATCGTTTTTTTTTTTAATAAAATGTACTATTCAGTATTTTCAGATATTAATAGATTATAGGCTGGCACGAGAGTACGATTATTGATTTTGGAAAAAACTATATTCAATCCTTTCAGCAATTCTGTGTCAAGAGTCCTTCTCTGGATTGGGTAATTGATGGAAAATTATCGAAGCTTGATTTGCAAAAGGTCATGGGTCAATCTTTAAGGTTATGTATGCTTGGGTCGAATTTTATCAGAATATATATATGTATATCAGAGATAAGAACCTCATTCAGTGCTCTACGTCAGTTCACGAAACTCTCCAAACTGACAAATTTTCGTCTTGACCCTTTCACTCGACCTTTTCATCCCTTTGTACCAGCATCCCTCTCCCACTAAGCACTAATTCGAATTACAGAGGATGATCACTGAGGCATTGACGCTTTGAGTCGTTCAAACGAAATTACTGTTTTACAGATTTAAACAGTATAATTGAAAGACATCCTTTTTCTACCCTTATTTCGCTTACCAATTCACCAAAGTTCTGTGTCGCGCGCTAAGCATTCCTTAAAAAGTATACACTGTTCCTTCCCTATAAGAGCCATATGCTAGATTCCTTCCTTTAGTACAAAATCCATGTCTCTTTAGTAAAAAAATCCATAAATTGGTAACTCCATAAAAAAAATTGTATTTCTGCTTAGAATTGTTTTTGGCTGATACCTCAGAAACGGCTGAGTTCTTTTAATCGTTCAAGGGATACTGTTTCGGTGGGTGCAAAGTAAGCGCAATAGTCCTCTAATAAAAAAAAAAAATAATAAAATACAATAAATCAAAGAATTCTCTTTAAAAATCAAACAACCTTTAAGAGACAATCTCGAGTTTCCGTAGGAATAAATATTCTCTTACGACTGATGCATCATCCCTCGCCAACGTAAATATCAACCCCGTGAACCCCTTGAAACTCGCGAAAGTCGCCAAGAACGAAAGAGACGTCACGATTCTCCGTTACGTAAGTTAACTGACTCCTTTTCCCTTAGATAACCAATAAATAGTCCCACGACTGAAAACATTAGATATTCCGTATCCGCTAAGAATTACGATGGTCTCAGAGAATCCTTTTCAACCCCATAAAAATACCCCATGCACGATCCTGTCGACGTACCAGACATTCAACCAGCAGCCAAGATAGACAACGAAGCCACTAGTCACATGGTATAGCACAAGCTTCCTATCTTGAAGTTGCGGTTACGTAAGCTCGAAACAGTTTCTCACGATACATCCACCTTCGGAACGAACCCAGCTATACTTGTTACATATGCACGTATATAATATAAAAATCCCGGGATACACTATACTATATGTAATTCTGACCAGATAGTTTAGACTGGTCAAAAAATATTTACAATTCCCCAGCTGAATTAAAAGTTTTAGACATTTTTTTTCAGCTGCCTATGCCATATAGCACGACTAACCCGTCGGCTTCTTTTTCTTTAATCTTTTCCTGTTTGGCTTAACTACTCTGCTAGCTATTCACTGACTTGCGGTAGGTCAAGGATGCAATTTGGACCGGATTCGTTTATACGAGTTTTATCGTTTACTCAGGGTCCCGTGAAACACGCTCATCAGCGATATAACTCTACGTCACTGAGATTAGCTCATTTTTATTAGACCTGAGAATGCGAATGGGATATAATTAACGAAAAAATAGAGATTTACTGTTAACGGATCTTTCTTTTTTTTTTATTACGGTTATGCATAACCATAGATTGGTATTATCGAGTCCAGTTATCATTTTAATTGGTGGCGAGCGTGTAACTGTGGTTAGGAATATGAATGCAGGATACCTAATTATAATTAGATAACGATAACCCGATAAATCGATCTTTATAATTATTTCCAAATTCTAATGTGATCCGTTAATTAGTCTGCTTCGGTAACAACTTCAAGAGTACCCAGCCCCAAGATACAGAAAGTGCTCAGTGAACTCGTAATTGGCCTATACTTGTAATCGATAAACGTTTCATATAAACTATATGCGATCGTCTATATCGTAAAATCGAGAAAAAAATGAATAAAAAAATTTACAAAAAAATTTGTTTTAGTTAATACCCTTCATATGGTTAAAAATTCATATGAAAGTTTCCGATATTAATTTCCGATATTAATTTAGTTCATATAAATAGCTTAGATGAATTATTAACATTCTTTTTTTTGCACTGTTAGGCAATTTCGTATACTTTACTTTGCCTGTCTTACTCTGCCAATGAAATGTTTCGATATCGATCGCCTATGGCAGGATATCACGCGATATTATTACTCCATTCCGTAATAATGACCATTCACTGGAATTGGTTGAACCAGAGAATACTTGAGAGTCAAAATCTCCTGGATTTTCCGAAAGTACGGAATTGCCGTGCCACGTGCTTTTGTAATTGCGCCTCCCTATTATCTTCTCTTTTACTCTTGAACGAGTGTATTTACCTCCTGTCTCTGTTTACCCCTAGCTTATCGCCATCAAGAAATTCCAACCGTGCAATTGCAGCTGCTAAATGCATTTTCGAATGGCAAACAGAAAGTTCCCAGAGGTTTTTGCAATTTTCTCATCTCGTCGCTTCATACGAAGCTGCATTCGGTATTCGCAATTATTATGAATTTCAGTATAATGAAAAAAAAAAAAGTCGTTTAATTATCAACCTACATATCAATTTGTTCACTTATGAAATTCTCGTAAGAGCGATACGACTGTAAATGGGTATTTAGATGAAATACAAATTGTTATGTGCTTTCCGGAAAAAGAATTCTCCAAGGAAAAAACGAAATGTAGGCAGAGGTAACCTATACTTTGGTATCGATCGGACGAGCAGTATGTTTTACTATTTTTTTAACGCAAGTTTTTAACGATTCGTTTGCTAATGGAATCGAAATTCCTTATAAATAGTCGATATAAGCAAATTAAAGATCACCTTTCGAAACGGTCATACCGTGGTAAATAAAATTTTGGATAGTCTACCAATTAAGTATAATAAGACGCTTGAAGTATGCCTATACGTACAATACCCAATGGTTTATGTACAGAATCAATGATAGAAGGGAAAATGCTGGCGTACGTACAATCGATCAGGAATTCAAGTAACGTTAGTAGAAGTATAGTAAAATATATATACACAAAATATATGCATACACTAATATATACGTAGCACTTGTGACTGTCAGTTTACCTTATGATTATCCTACACACTTCGCGTAATTGAGTATTTTCTGTATTATATACGCAAAGCACTTAGCATAGAGTAACAAGCGACAGCGACACACAGGAATATATGTGCATAAATTCGTTCCGTGAATTCTTGAAAAACGTTCGAGATATGAATTTACGTTAAGGCAAAGTTTCTCTTTGCAAGTAGTTCGATGTATCGAGTATACGTAGAGGCATTACGTCACACAAATTATCGACGAGTCTTCCAAAGCAACATTACCGAATGAAATTAAATTGCAATATGACTCACCATTGCGTAATGAAGTCCGTGCCTATGGTAAAAATTGGCGTGACAGTCCGATTGGCTTCTGTGCCGTTCAGGCTGCTCTCAGTCCCGTTCGCCTCCATCGCCTTTGCTGTTGCTTCTTATCCTTCTCCTCATCGACCTCCTTCTTCTTCTTCTCGGTGGTAGCGACCTACCCAGGCACGCTCCACCTTTACTTTGGTATCCAGTCACCTCGAGTACATTCTGCGAAGTTCGTAAAAAGCTTTTTTTTATTGCTCTGACCTGCGTGTTGGAAATAATGTTGTTGGTTTGCATCAATAGGGAGAGCTTGTTAGGAGGGATGCTAGAAATGCGATTGAACGGTGGGGTGGGATCGGGAATTTAATTACAGTGGCTTATGCATAATTAATATATCGAACGAGATATTGTGACTTTTTTAATTATATGGGCAATTATGGCGACTAGTAAAGTTTGAACGTGTCGAATTGTGGGTTTTTTTCCAGCTTTCACAATTAAAATCGTTTATCAATTCCTCGCTGATGTATTTACTTGGGTGGGGAAGATTGTCTAGGGAATTTGATTTTTGTGATTTTCATAAGATTTGACTATTTTTCAACTTAGGGGTAGGTAGATTTACACAATTTTTGTATATTAATTGTCTTAATGATTTTTTTTTTTAGATACAAATTTATCATAGTTCCTTAATTTATTCTTCTTGAATTTGAATTTGGCCCCTAACACTTGAAAGTGCTTAGGGGTGGCACTAAAAGTCATCAGTCAACATTACCTTGGTACCATTAACGTTCTCTAACTTTTCCATACCCATGAGAAGTAATGTTGAAAAGTCGAAAAAAGGGGTTGCAAAAATCGAGGGATGAAAAAAAAAGCGTATAATAAGAAAGTACGAAGATCTTTGTTATTTGACTTTCATCCAAGTGTGTTCATCGCGAAGCTACTGAGAATGATTAAACGTTCAGGATGATTTCGATGTAATAGAAAAATTTTTGGAAATTGTCAAAAAAACTTCATAGTCCTTACTATTGGTATTCCAAAACTATCGCAATAAACTACCCCAAAGCCAACCAGGCATTAAATACCCGTGAGATAAGGAAGCGACAAATTGCGTGATTTACGCATATTTTCCAAGGACCAATTATCCAAATGTTTAAATCCTACTAGTAGAGTAGATTAGACCCTTAAAGGTTATACTGACAAATATATGCCTTCTATAAAAAAAAAATGCTAACTTTCAATTATTCGTCTGATCACTAGTTTTTAATTAAAATATGAAATTTTATTTCAAATAATTCTATTTAAAAAGAAATAAAATTAATTCTATATTAGTATACATATTACAGTCGGGCGTGTAAATATTTAACATGCAGAAACTGTACAACGAATGTAAAATGAATATTGACAGTTTCACCTTAAAAATGAACGCCCTACTATACCAATGCGAAGCGCAGCGACATTAGCCTAAAAGCTCTTAAGGACACCTCTTAAAATTCAATCCGTCGCTTCGTTAAACATTCTATTACCGTATCTCAATACTATAGTCATTTGACAACCTCTTTACCCTCCTAGTGTTCCCATACAATTTTTTTGTGTTCCCACAAAAAATATTACGGGATAAGTATTTAACGTGCTCGAGAGCATCGTAAGGGGTTCCTTTGTCAAGAGCAGCTTCTAAGAACATTATGGAACCATTCAGTAAGCATATTACATCCCGACCACCAACAGTGTTCGTTATCACTTTTATATCAGTTTTATCATTCATATATGTATTAAATATTTTTACATGCAATAGGGGTTGACTATACGACTATCATGTGTTATACATATAATCTATACAAGAGAGCTTTTAAAAGATGATGTAGATCGTTTTCCATATTTTTGAATAAAAACAAACATAGGATTGAAAACGAATAGTAAATGCGAATGCATGCACGACAGTCCTGATACCCGGCTTTGCTTTTCCACGATTCTGGATTTTTGAAAGCTTTTTCGAAATGCTTTTTTTTATTCAGTCTATATTTCTTCCCTTTTGCTGTTTTTCTCTTTATTTACCCCCTTTTCACACGACTCTCCCTTGAATTTTCGGACCGTGTTCAATTCAACTATTTTCGTGGATTCGTAAAATGTAATCGTAATTCGAAGTCACGGTGATAACACACGTCAAATTTTTGTTGGTATACTCAAATCTTTTGAAAAGGAAATTAGATGTTTTTTCATAATTATTATTTGAAACGCAATTCCAATATTATTTTGATGCCTATCGGATATGATAACCAAGAAATTGAAGCTTTATTTCCAAACGACATATGCATCGTGCAATTACTGCCGATCGATTTATTCGCTATTGTCAAACGACTACCCTTTAATTCCGATTCATTTCCCCTTTTTGGATTCACTTGAAAAATCCTCGAAAACTAAAATCCCATGCAACAAATACCAACGAATCGCATCGCAGCTTCGATCTCGTTCGTCTTCGTTATTATTTATAGAAAAAAAGGCGCCATTCAACAAAATCACTCTGACTGATTATTCCTTTCTTCTGCACATTTTACAAGAACGCAAACTCATTTAACTTGAAAATTTAATCAATACTTTGTCATTCACGATTCAACGTAAGAATAACAAAAATTGAATATACCTAACCTGCCTGTGGAAGCATTGCTCAGGGATGGTTGAACAAAACAATCGGAGTTAAGCATACAAAATTAACATGAATGGAAGGCGAACAATAAAGACCAAGACAATTATTATAGCTATCGAGTGATCGATAAAACATTTTTCAAGCTCAAAAATTATTTTTCATAAAACCCACGTGGAGCAATCATACCCCGTATAACAATTAAAAATTAGTATACAACTTTTTTTTTTAATTTCACTTATCATTGCTTCCTATTATCAAGTTTCTATCAGGAATTAAATCTAAAGCAAAGATAACTGCAAACCACTATTAAGGTATTATCCAATTCACAAAGTCATCCATCACTTCACCTTAAATTGCCCCATAAGCGAGTAACTTGAAAGTCATTAGTGTTTACCGTCTTGACATTAAGGAGCCATATCCACTACCATGATAGCACCCTTTGCCACTCACCCTATACACCTACCCCTAAACTTCAGCGAGTCTACAGAAGTTTCGTTTATGCTTGATTCGAGGGTTGGTCCTGATCGACAGTTATCGAAGATCAGCAATAGCAGGGAAAAGTGTGTCTGATTGCAAACGAGGGTTTCTACTGACTGCGTGAAGTTAATGTTCCATAAAGTCGAAGGAAAGAAAGAAGAAGAAAAAAAGAAAATCAAACTATCCATTTTTGTGCTTTTTCTAGCAACGGTCAATTCAGCTTTGTTTTTTGTTCGTTATATCGACAGAGCTTGAAGGTTCTGACTTTTTTTTTCCTTCTATCAAAAGAATAAACAATTTCGTATGACAAGATACATCATTCGGCAGGTCTGTTATTTCGGATCAATATTTCCCAATGGATGCAAAGTATCGATGGATTCAATTGTTTTTGTTAATATCCAACGATATTTCGAAATTATCGATGAAAGTGAGGAATATTCTATTGACGATGCACGATGCATCGAGGATTAAAAAAGAACTTTGTATCCATTACATATGTACATAAAATCGACGTTATAGAAATATTTTTGTTTGCTTCAAAAAAGAAATCATCCCTTGCGTACACGAAACTTCGCCATAACTGCTTGGCGATTAAAGTTTCACGTCTAAGTGGAACTAAACCAAAGAAATAATCGATAACCTTGCATTTTATGCCTTGAACATAACGTCATTGGTCGCAACGGTACGTATCGAGCAATAATAAATATCGACCTTTATAACTAACAAGTTAGATAGTCAACAATGATTTTTTTTTCACCCATGTCAGTTAATTCTCTCAGAAGGGAATCCATTCTTGAATAAATGCCGAGCATTACAGTTTATCAGTATTTTGCACGCCAATAATACAAGAACAGTTCCAATACTACGTCCCTGGGCGTTAATTATTAATGCTGGAGGCTACCTACCCCATCGTTCTAACTAAGTTTACGGCTACGTCAAGAGACTCCCATAAACTCATGCCTAACTTGGAATTTCCAGACTCCCTGCCCCCCTTACTGTCCGTCGCCGCTCCTTTAACCCCTAGTCCCATTACAAATAATTTGATGTACCTACCGCCGCGAGATCTTTTTATTCCCTCTCTTGAAGGGAAGCTGCTGTATCCGGATTTTATTCGGATTTGCCTACTCGAATGACGAATATACCAATTGCGCAGCAATGCAATTGCTTCGATATATGTATCGAATACAGATACATATATCTGTAGCTTCCAGTAAGGTAGGTATCCGATAAAGTATACGTAAAATTTTGTATTGTATCTTCACATGATATCATAATGGCGTTATAAATTATATGCGTATATGATGTGATAAATTTAGAAATCAATAAATCCTCGCGAACATATTTATGCACGCAAAGGTCTCCCACCCAGTAAAGTAATATCAAGTCCACCGATCGATACAATGTATATGCATTTATATAATTTACACCTACATACTACCACAGCACCTACTTCCTTTACCCGAATGCCGATCACTGCAATCAAAGAGACTCGAGCGGAATAACAATTAACACTTAATTCAAAGCGATTCACGATACTCGAGGAAATCTCTTTGGTTATGAAAAAAAAAGTATTCCATCCTAAATGTCGAATGCAAATTTTTCGATAAGTATGATTGAAACAAAAAAAAAAACAATTAATAAAATTTTTCTATCACCTCGAAGATCAATAACGATAACAGAAATCAATATAACGAATCATATAAAGAACAGTTATCATTATTTATTGAATCGACTAATACCTAACCAATAAATTCCAATAATTTTATTGACACATACATATATGGGAGCCGGATATATTCTTACTGAAATTGAGTTCAATTGAAATTGAGATTAAGACCCTGATTTTGTCCGTTAAAGCGGATTTAGCTGTTTCGTGGGGTGTTAGGGAGGGGGGTGGAGGGGGAGGATTTTCCTCGTCACTCACCTCATCCGTTATTAACTAGTCGTTCTTTATGTTACACAGAACCTTCATCTTGGTAAACTCACCACCACAAACGGACCACAGATGAAATCCTCTTAGAATTTGCCATTTTCTCATTCATCCCTATACAGATTTTTATTTACAATTGTCAGAGGGATTTCATCTCCGATAATCCTCTTAAAGTTCGAAGTAAACGTACTTTGCAAACATTCTTGTGGTTCAATAAAGAAGTTTTGAACATCCACCTTTGGTCTTTCATAAAGTCTGTTATAGGGTTAAACGTCTTTGTTACGCGAGACTTTGTTATATTAGTGGTTTTTGTAATTTGAAAAAAATTTTTGTATCCTTTATGTAAAATTTCAACGATTTTTATACCTTGCGATTTCTTAATATCTTGTCTGTTATGTAACATGACATTCAATGCTTAATGGAACTAGGGTGAAAGAAATAGACGTATTTGGGCTGGATATTGAGTTTATATGGATAGTTTATACATATTTTAAAAATTCATTGTTCATAACCCCTTGGCAGACGAAAATTGGTTACACGTATTTTGTTTTGGTTCATTATTAAATTCCATGAAAAAATTGCCCGTTATAAATAAAAGTTAAAATAGGAACATGGAGTCAAGTAATAATCGATGTGGTTCCATCGAAACCGTCATGCAGGAGTAGTTTTTGGTACGTACCGACCAAAGCATATGCAGAGGTCCTTTCAATAACAAAAAATGTAATCCATCTTAGGCGCTCGCGCGTCACCAGCAAAGAAATGAAAAATGACAGCATTAACCGATGCCACTACGGAAGATGGTTAGAGAGGTTAAGAACCCGAAAGGTAGTAGGGGAGTTATAAATTGTTTTTCCTATGCAATGTCCAGTCGCTTTTCATAACCACTAGGAGCCTCCATCTTTCCTACTAATTCTCTCCAAAAATATCGTCTTCAACGGCGTGAATGAAACGTCGCAAAAACCAATTCCCCATTCACTCCCTAAGGCATTGACTAATTACGCAAATGTCTAGGCAGACACGTGCTTCGCCGTTGCTGACAAGTAATTTATTATGACTACGAAAAACTTGACACGTGAATTAAAGTTTATACAAAAAAAAAGTCAAGTAGCATGAAAAACAAAAACTAAATTAAAAATCAAAAATTAAATTTTTTTCGTCAAATTCATTTAAATTTGTTGAATCAAAAATTTGAATTAAAAAAAATTTGTTTGTTCTATTATCACTCCCGTAAGGCAATTCTTTTGGTACCTATCGCGAGTACGATTATCTCTATCTATAAACCTCAGCGGATACGACGACTTCCTCCGCCCCCCAACATCGTCTACCTTCTACGGACTCTTCCGGCCCCTAAGCACAGCTTCCTTCCATCAGACTGAAGTCTCCTGTCCGCGTTTCTATTGTTGACTTTTATCGTTCTGCTGCGAATTCTCATTTCCTTCGTAGCCGAGGATACGAATTTCAATCAATTATGGAAAATCGTGAAAGGTCCTTCTGGCAGGACCCTGGAGATAGAAAAAATCGTTTCAACCCCTGTTGTCAAGACGGGTCTTAACTGCTTGACCCGACCGTGATGATTGTCTTCAGGTGATCAAACCCATCCCAATTCTAATATCATGCGACATACGCTTTCGAATCTTTCAGGAATTCAGTAGAGATAGGAATTTTATTATACGGACAGGCCTTAAAGGAAAATACTGCACTGCTCGTTAACATTGAGCCATAGGCGAGTTATTAAATGAGATATTCGTGCTGGTAACTCCTTCCAATGCAAACTTGATTACGTACTGTTCACGCAGACTGGCGTGTGAGAATTCTTATCGAGTTCTTCACGAAATATTTTATACCTTATAAAATCTAGGCAGAAATATTATTTTTCTAAACGTTATACATCACCCGGACAATATGGAACGTATGTGAGAAATACCATAAGGCATATAAATATGACTTATTAGTCATGTATTTTAACGAATTCAATTCTTTAAATACAATTTTCTATTTTTTTTTTTTTTTTGAATACCAATTCAATAATCTTATCGAAACAGTTTTTCTTATATCCAACGTAACATGTGGCAGAGTTACTTTCTTTACCGCGTCAAGTTTTCCTGTTGTCTAACTTATATTAAAATGGAACAACGTTTTTCACTTTAGCGGCCAATTTCGGTATCGATCGTTTATCCAATTTCGAATTGGAGCAAAAGCAACGGGTAGATAACTAATTGTTGTACTACAACGGTACGTACAACATTGAACCACAACTCGGCCCAGTTCAACTATCTCATCGGGTTGGTTGACTGTGCAATACGGAAGACTGATATTATGCAAAATAATAGAAATGTTTCATGCGCGGCACGAGTGTTAATGGCGCCCTTGTTAGATGGAGACAGAGAGTACCGAACTTCGGTAATACTAGTCAAGATATGAATACGGTATCTAATATCATTTACTCTTACCCGAAACATTTATCACGGACTCTAAACTTATTTTTAAGTCATCAAATTTTGCTACACTATGAACAGGTTAATAATTTTGCATTCTAATTACAGTCCCTTGGGGTTGAATTCGCGGGATGATAAATCAGAGGGGCGAGTGATAATTATTGGGAGTGACGTAGTTGCTAACGTCATTTATCATTTCGACATTGGAGTCTCGGGGTTGGTCGTGAGAATCAAATGACACATCAGTCATGTCACACTCGAGTTCCCGATCATTTGCATACTTATCTTTTTTTCATCCGTGTAAGATTTGGAGTTTGATCGTTGCTGAGTTTGGCGAGGATGTTATCTTTTACAGGGATTTCGATGAATAATAATGAGTGGAGAGACGCAGAAGAATTTTTTAAAATTTTCGTAAGAATACTGTTTACCTTAGGGTGGCAATTGAGAATTCAAGCCTTCGCCGAACTCGATGGATTTTAAACTGTTAAGAGAAACTTTTAGATTTACATTTCAACGTGTTGATACGATTTACGCGCACACGACCCCACGAAAATATTATAAGGATAGCGAAAAATTATTATTGATAATCGTCACTTTGTAATTTAGTAAATCAAGTGAAAATTTATATCGGAGAAAAATAGCGAATAATAATGTAAAGTAAAATGACGTAACGAAATACATTGAGAACCAACAGGCCAATAATATCGATACACTCTTCTATGATCGCTGTATAAAACAACAAGAATAATTATTCCATAGCACAAAATCTCTTGGGTTCAAATTGCAATTTTTTTTTTTTTTTTTTTTTTCTAAACTGCCAAAGTATCCGAATTACATGAAAACAGCCTCAAAATAAAATCGTTACTAGAGGTATTGAATTTTCTCTTACTGATCCGTCGTGCCTAGCTTGTACAGTGTTTTTGTAAAAAGTAAAAATCCCATAGCGCGACGTAGTGAAAGAAAGATGAAAGTAAAAATTAGTAGAGTGAAGTGATACGCAATTAAAGGAAAAAAAAAAAACAAATCAAACAAAATTTAATCTACGGATCAATTTGATTGAAGAATCGCGCAAGGTGGTTCCGACATGCTTATAGTTCTTTCAGGCTCACTAGACGAATTCGTTGACAGACACGCGGCGGCGAGGATTGAAGTGAGCGCCGAGAGCGTCGCGACGCCGTTCCCGTCGTTCCCGTTCTTCAAGCGCATGCGCACTCTAGGAAGGTTTGACGCGAAGCATAACGTTCCCTTGTTATTATTAGACCAATGATTTCTTTGATAAAAAGAAAAATTGAAAAAAATCTATTGTTCGCTGTCGACTGTCTTGAATTTTTTTTTCAGAAATTTCACAAAAAATACTTAATGCTATTTATACACATTGCCAGACACTTTTAAATATTAGACGTCTTCAATTTGCGACCTTCGTGACGTAAGCCTCTTAAATTTATACCTATTCCGTGCTTTTATCCAGTGGAACAATCTGCATCCGTAATCATTCCTATCAGAGAAAGGATTGTAAGCCTAGACAACTGTCGCAGAATTAAATACGTGCTAAACTTAACATCAAAGTGAAGAATGAATTGTCTATTGGCGTCACGAGGATCGAGATTCTCATCATTGAAGAATGAAACAACGTCAAGTTATATTTCGCTAAAGGTCAAGAGAATGTAGAACATTGTCCTCAGTCACTTGTCAGTATAGATATCAATCTAAATTTACGTATACCATAGGGTTTTCAATGTATTAAAAAAAAAATGAGGTAGAGATAAAAAAATCTATATAAATAATCAATGCTGGAAATACGACGTTCTTAAACACTTTTCAAAAATCGGAATCCCGTCAGCAATTAAGAAACTAGGAGTCCTCACCGGAGCTGATTCGGCTAATCCGTGGGGGCCAGGAATTGTATCCAAGGGACACTCAGGTGGACACTGCATCACTGCACAACACTGCACCTCCGAAAGACGCGCGTAAAATCTACAGGATTTTCATAATGTGGCGACAACGAACGCGAGAACTACACTATCGACAGCTTTCTGTACCATGGGCAATACAGTCAGAAAAACTATCAACAGATATCACGGGAGCGCGACCCAGCTCGAGGCACCTCGTTGGTATCCCAAGACAGACTGTATTGATAATAGCCAAAATTGCGAATTTCGGAAAAAAATCATTCTAATTGGTCGAGATCCATTTAGCCGATAACTACTATCTGCTTCCTCGAGTCATTCCTTTAAACTATATCGAAAGCGTCTTTTGACATATCGGTAATGTAGTGAATCGGAAAATTCTTCACGAGCGTTTACCCAGAGCATAGGGCGAAAGAAGGGCCGATTGTACAAGTTTTGAGGGATAGAATACTTCTATACAAGTCTTATACCTGCACGCGTCGTGCCCGAAGTCCCCATGGAATAGAACATTTTTCTTTTTAACACTAGTATTATATAATAAATATTAACAAGTGTCATAGGTGCGTCAAGGTATATAATATTTGCATATGCAAATCGTATAGAAATTCCATGTATGAATGTTATTTGCACGATTTAGTGGTTTCGACGTAAATATTTCCCTCATTCTATTCAAAAAGAAAATAGACTTCATTGTGAAAGCAACCTCACGTGTACGTAACGTGTGACATCCCTTTAATGGGGTTCGAGGATTTGGCACACAAGACAGTCTTTCGGAAAATCGAGATATCTACAATAACGTCAGTATCATATTTCTGGATTATTAACAATATATATGGATTAACCAACAAAAAAAAAAATTCTAATAATTAATTTCTCAATCGATACCAATCGTGATTCTGCAGGCGAAATTGATACTTCAAAATGTGCATCATGGACTAACAAGGAAACCCCCCCAACCCGACCCCACCGATTTCAATAATTTTTTGATATGTTGCAGTACTCGACAAAATAAGAGACACGTATTTTTTTTTTTGTGCTGACATCCACTTTAAAGGGGTGAAAACGACCCTTGAAATTCACCCCCGAAAATCGTTTTTTTATCATATCTCGACTTCTAATTAATATTTTTTAATAAAACCAAGTGGAAAATATTTGTCATAAGAAGTCGAAGATATGAGGTTTGTTAATGACCCAAGGGGTTGCAACCCTTATTTTATATTTTGAAAAAACTATATTTTTTATGCTCTTTTTCTGCATAAAAACCGGGGTATGCGCTCAAAAAAATAAAGAAAAGCGTTTCCGTTAACTCCATCAAATATTTCAGTTGGGGTGTTTCAGGATTTTTCAAAGGGATAAAAACCACGTAGGATTATTTAGTACGATTAGAATGTTACGCAGTATTGAGGGAATGCAAATTTTTTCTTTTTCCAATGGTTCACAGGTCAAAGGACTAAAACGGAAACGACTTTCTTGTATAATCCAACAGTTCCGGAACCCATTGGCGGAGAACGAACTACTCTTCAAAGTGCGTTCCTGGTTGACTAAGCGGTCGTCGTCTACTGGAAAGGTTGTAGGTTGGCGACTACGACGGGATGAAAAGAAGAAGGAGTTGGCGGAGGCCTTCATCATCCTCCGCTAATATTTACTCGTGCGAACACAAAGGGAGTCGCTACTGTGACCAAAGGCCTCAGCCACGCCTCTGATAAAAATGTCTCGAAGCTGCTAAAACGAACGTACATACGTATACATACATAGTACCTATACATTATAAATCCTCAAAAAACCTTTAAGCATAGAACAATGGCCTTTAATGATTGATTGTTCCAATAATTATTTTGATGAAAATTGACGATACACATCAGACATAGTGTTATAATGAAAAAAACCTAGATTTACATCTAAATCCTATTCATTAACCATATTTGAACCATACGATGATGCAAAAATGAATATGGTATCGTTACCATAGTTTTATTATCGTTAACTTTTCTCTGAAGTTAGTTACCCGCGAAGTTTCAAATATCGTTAGCATCCGGGATGCAGAAGACGAATAAAATCGGTTGCTACCTGAACCGTTGGCCGTTCAAGCTGGTTCGTCAGGTTGCTGGAATCCTGGTAGGCTTGTTGGTTGCTTGGCTATGTCTAGCAGAGAGGCCTAAAGCTTTCAAACAAGCCTGTAATGAAGTTACGAAGCTTCCAGCGTTGACGTTGCCGCTACAGATATCAGTTCTGACGAAGTCAGATACGAAACGTGCCTTTGGTTAGGAACCTAAAATTCATGGTTGTAGAATCCAAAAATTTTTATTTTTCAATTATTCACAAAAATCTTGAAATTTAGAAAACCGCAAGGAGGTAAGGAACGACTAACATACATGCTGTAATCCTTTTATGAAGTACTACTGATTTTTTATGGGAGTCCAGATATAAACTTCTTTACATTCTATTGAACCTTAGTTTGTCGATCCGGATGAAGGTGAACCGCAGGGTTTTCAGATTTTGGTTTCACCGTTTTTTTAAAAACAACTTTTTAGAATAGCTTCTCTTTTTTGTCATTCTTTTTGACCTCTTTTTCAAACAAATTTCTAATTACTCTTTTCGAGTCCTCAGCTCCTTAGCTTCATTATCATTGATTAACTGTTTACATCAAGATATCATGTCTTTACACTTGCTGCTAATTGTCAAGTAAATAGATTTTATTTGATCCAACTAGCTTCCAAATGAACACTCGAATCCTTCCTGTGCCTTGGTGCTACAGTGAAACTGTCTAGAAAGTATTGCGTCATAATTTATTAATTAATCCAGGACGCTGCGATACAAATTTATACGAATATAACGCTGGAACTTAAATACCACAAATTTTCTTTTTCTTTGTATATCCAAAAATAAAGATATATAAAAAAATTCCAAAGGATCGCTATTGCAGCTCCGGGCATTTCTTGATATCACCGTGGACACCGTAGATGATTGTAGCGTCGCGACGCCACCGCGCCCCAAGGCATCCCATTCAAAGGGCCTGACTCTGTCGGCAAATCTTAAGGAAACGTGAAAATCTCGCGAGAATACTGTCAAAAGCCACGGGGTTGCTTTTATGACTGTTTTCTCCTCCTTTACTAAGAAAGCGAAGACATCACGGGGATCATACAAAAGAATGCAGTAGACATACAAAATACATTCAAGCCTATATTGCAGGTAATATTTATTTTGCCTTTCTATAAAGTATTGTATTTCATAATGTATTTTCATTTTATAATGTCATTTCGAGCTTTTCGATAATACCATTTTTTTTTAAAAGCCCTGTTACAAGCACTCTGCCCTTGAACCTTTCGCTGCAAGGACCGAATAAAGCCGCAAAATATTTCATACCCGTCCGTGTGAACCGAATAAATATACACCAGCGAAATTTATACATGCACCGTGGTGATCAAACGCATGCGCGAAAATATTTTTTGCAGCATACCAGGTAAGTGCATTAAATTCATATATAGCAGCGAAAGGGTTAATACGTGTTAAGTGTTAATAAAGCATTGCAAATGGAGCCAGATACTTTCGGGCACAGAGAACGTGGGTAAATAATCGAAAAATAATGGCCATACAGTGATAATCCCTCCGGGGATTGCCAAGTGTCCTTATCAGAACACCATCTCTGGATCACGAGGAGACACAAGATATCAGATTGCACATGTATACGTGTTTTCGAAAAATGTAAAAATTGTGGCCGAACGAGTGATAAAATTTTCATGAATATTTCTGCATATTTAAATGTCAAAGTTGTATTAATATATATAGAAAATGCCTATTTTCGTCGAATTATATTACAATGCTGTTCGATAATCTGATACCTGGAGGCATTTAGAAACAGTGAATGAATAAAGAAATCAAAAGGATCCAGCCTCATTGATAATTACTGGAGAGAAAAAACGTAAGAAAATGAAAGAAGAGCAGTAAGAGCGTGGGTTGCCTTGGGAATCTCTTTTAATGAGAAAACAAGTCTACGCGCTGCCACTGCCTCGAGGACTTTTTACTCGGCAAGAGAAGTACACTTGTGAAATTCTTCTCGTGCATTGAGAGGAACAAAAACCGCGAAAAAAGCGGTACAATGTAAAATCTAGTGGTACTCTTAATTCGCAAATTTTTTATTTCATATTTCCCGCGCACAGAGAAGTTGTGACGTTACACTGTAATGTTCTACGTACTATCAACAATTGTCATGCTTACACAAATAGTACGTTTATGGAATCTATACCCGTAGCAGTACCGAAGTATTATATTTCCAGACTACTTATCAGATCGTTACCAGCAAAGGATACTTGTGAAGGCTAAATGTCAAGGAAAGTATTATATCAGTGATACCATATCTTAACGTGGGTACGATACTAGCTAGTAGAAGAGATACAGAAAATATATTGGAGAAATCGTAGATGAGGATGGATGGACTGATAAAAGAATTCTCATTACGAGTTCGCATTATGCTAGCATACCATGTACGAACACTATGTTATACGAAGTATTTATACTTGTATGTGCCGTAAAAAGAAATGTATTTTTATTTTTAGAACGACCAGACGCAAGATCATGGTGCTCTTTGAATTTCCAGAAGTGGGAAAAAAATCTGTATTTTATTTAAGAAAGGAACTTGCTATAGGATACATTTTCCTCGACTTACTTCAAGCCTGACATAGTTTGCAGTACGTTATAAATAAAGTGTACGGGTTCAAGTAGACTTGAGGTAAGTATGCTCACTATGATAGTATACTCACAGTGCCATCTAAGGAGAAGTTTTGGATGGGATACCCTTAGGCGTAATGACGTAAGTGGATTCTTCATTATGCAAACCAATCAAGAGTGAAGTTAGTCGCGGCGTCCGATATGAATCTTTGAATTATACTAGACCGACATATGCGGTTGGTGTAGGACAAAAGACAGCAGCGCTGTGGCAGAGCACTGAACAAATCCAGTGTCACATTGTCCAACCACTTTATTTCAAAACCGAAATTAGTTTCTATCTATAATTTACATTCTACCTGTAATTAATCAACATTTCGGTATCTAAAATGATGCATATTTTTCGATACTTAAAAAACCCGCTGAGCAATTAATCATTATTTATTATTGACGATAGTCAACAAACATTTTTCTCAGTTAACCTAGTTTTCAAACTGTACCATCACACTCGTCGACTGACGACACCAGCAGCCAATCACGGTGCGAATAAAGCGATTGCATTGCTACAGTCGACACTTCGATAAAATCTAATATGACTTTTAGGAGAAAAACGAAAGGAAGGAGTAAACATATAATGGAGGAGCACACAGTTAGCATCCTATTCAGTTTTTTGAACAAGCTTGCTATAGATTTTTAAGTTTGTTTTTGAAAAAATTCCAAAAGGGAATGCATTTATTGCGAACACTTTATAAAATTTTTACAAAATTTCATACATCAATGATTAGTGTCTTTTTCGTTTCAAGCGTACAACTCGATAAGTGGAAATTCGTGAGAAGTGATATACAATCCAAAGCACAGACCACTTATCCAAAGAAGCTCAGGCAACCTCATTAAGTCAACCAACTCATTAAATAGCTCCAACGTCACCTCGTTAAATCCGTATAATTATTCATCCCGAAGCCATGCTGCATTGTTCTGATCCACTGGGATTTCCATTGTTTTTTTGGTATACCGAAGCTGCGTTTGCGTTAAAGATTTTATTACTCGCTTGCATTAACAAGAAGACCTAGTAACCCACAGCAAGCTTAGAAAGTATTAAAAGTTTTATGAAAACCCGGTATAACCGTACAGTGTGAAAATTTAAAGATATTTTTCTGTCTCGAATGTCACCTTTAAGGTACCTTTGATACCATTCATTAATCCTGATATTTTATCTGAATCATTTACAGATTCAAAATATCTCTTTACACTGCATTAACTGCAATATCATGTATATTGAAAAACACTTTTTTTTCTAGCAATCGATTCAGCACTATCTATTGATACTTTGGGTAAGTTCGCTATGTAATCCTTCGTATATGGTACTTTTGAAGTTACGCCTAGCAATAAGAAGGATCCAAAGGGGTATAGCTATCCTATCGGTTGGGTTTCCAATATCGAGATCTGCGGGTCGTGAGCAAACCTTATGTTGGAAGTCTACATGAAGGACATGCAATCTACTTCAATCACATGCAAATCCTGACAAGTTACACCGAAAACCTCAACATGGTCTGGATCTTCTTGTTCGCATTGGATACAGAGCATTCTGATATCATTGTTAAATAAGTTAATTTGAAAGGAGACAATAATTTTTCAAGTATTTCAAAATTAAAGAATAAGTACAGCATTCTTTCAAATCGAGATGGAGAGAGAGACAGGGGGAGATTGAGAGAGAGAGAACGAATAACGCTATAGCACACATGATCCAATTGGCAAGTTCAAATGCGGAGCAATTGGAATACACTGAATGGAGCCATGTGTCAGAATTTAAATAGAATGAAAGAAGCACATAGGAGACGACGTGTCAGAAGTTTGAAGTCCGAAGACGAAAGCGGATGAATGTAGAACTTGAAAGTGATACCGATTGGAAGAAGCGAGTGTAAGTAATTTGAATAAAAGTATAAAAACTAAACAAGAATTATAATAGAATGCAGAAAATATCGAAAGAGACAATTTTTTCTCACAAGCCAATAATTTTGTTTGTTCAATTTAGTAAGAATAATCTAATAAGCGTATTCTTAATTGATATTATAAACATGAACGTTTTATAACGTCATTGTCGAACAGCTATCCAATGGTTACCAATAAACTGTATACAGATCGCATTTAATCACTTGAATTTACAGCGATGCCGTATTTCGATAAAGTTAATTACAAGTCAAGACTGCTCCATCATAATTACGGCTTAGCAGAGAGACATCTTGATAATGGATTTCTTCCAGATAGGTACTTATGCAATAATAAACTTTCAGCGTCGTTACTCTCACGGCGATGTTCCTCGAATCAGTAGCAGATACCAAACGATAAAACGAGTATGTAAAATTAACGTGAACCGTGTGTTATAATTATTCTTCAAATTATATTATCGAAGTACTACGTTTCAATTCCATAGGAAATTGCTTACGCGGATTTTACGATGAGTTAAAGTGTTTTTCTCAGCGTAGCAAAGTAATACTCCTCGCTGTGACGAAGCGACCAACTGCACTTAAAATGCATCGACGCATCCTCAGTGCAACGATATTTCTGCTCGCTCTCGTAATCATCGAGAGTAACGCAACAATTCCGGATAAAACTTCCGCTTCCGATTTGCCACATCCAAAAGTCAATTGGAATGATTCCGTCTCGTATCGACTTCCGTCCGAAATTATACCGCATCACTATACTCTTCAGGTTGACGTTAGAATGAACGAAGAGGATTTCTTCTTTACCGGCACCGTTCATATTTCAGTCAACGTTAACGTACCGGTGAAAAGGATAGTTCTACATGCGGATTCTCTGGTTATATCTGAAAGTGCAACCAGAATCGTTGAAGAAAGTAGTAACAGTTCACTGGTGATTATTAGCCAGACATCCGAGACCGTGCCACAGTTTTATATAATTAATTTAGCCGAGAATCTTCGATTAGGAAATTACAAAATTTCTTTGTCGTTCAGTGGAAATATTCTTGAGAACCGGATCGGACTGTGCAGGACCAGTTACGGTACAAGTGGGCCGAAGTATGCATCTTGATTATTAAACAATGAAATACAGTTGAAATTTTTATGGAAATTGATTTTCTATTACAGTTGGATGGCGATTACGCAATTTGCTACAACGTACGCGCGACGTGCTTTTCCGTGCTTCGATGAACCAGGATTGAAAGCAACTTTTGACATTTCTATTATACATGAAAATTATCGATTTGCTTGGTCCAACACGCGTGCCACCCAGACTCTTCAAAAGTACGTAATAGTCGACAGATTTTTGCTATTGAAAATAACAGTAAAGACTTTGAATCGATGTTGATGATTTAAACAATTTTTTTACAGCTCAGGCAGATCAATCACTTACTTCGCTCGAACGCCAAGAATGTCAACTTACCTCGTGGCATTTGCTGTAACCGGATTCGACGGACAGTCAGCAAGACCCGGTTATGCAGTGTCCACCATTGTTCGTCCAGAAGCAATGGCGTCGGCTGAATATTCAATTGTGAAAGGGGAGCAGCAATATAGAGCAATTCAGAATTGGATGGGACAGCCAGACTTTGTTGATAAAGTCGAACAGTTGGCTGTGCCTGATTTTCTTTACTCTGGCATGGAAAATTGGGGATTGATTACTTACAGGGAATCGGTATTGCTGCAAATGGACGGAGTTACCAGTTCGAAAGATCTACAAACCATAACCAATATTATGTCCCATGAGTATGCTCATGTGTGGTTTGGTAACATGGTGACCCCATCTTGGTGGGACTATGTCTGGCTGAGCGAGGGATTTGCTACTTACTTTGAATACTTTGGCAGTTCTCTGGTGCATAGTCATTGGAGACTTATGGAACAGTATGTCGTGAATGTGGTACATTCCGCTTTGAGCTATGATTCATTAAGCAGCACAAGAGCTATGAACGGCGAAGGAATTGGGAGCCCTTCGACTATTGCTCAATCACTCGATATCGTTTCTTATCAGAAAGGTTAAAATATATTCGTATTGCGTGTCAGTAAATCAATTAACGCACTTATCAATATTCATTCAATTTTAGCCGGTTCAGTTATCCGGATGTTGTCTCATATAATCGGCGAGGAAGTTTTTTGTACTGGACTTCGGAATTACTTGAAAACAATGTACCATGGCATATATAATTTTAACTTGTATATTAGATTACTATTTTTCGAAATATTAATCATTTTTAATATCACTTTCAGGGCATTGCAAGCGGCTACCCCATCAGACCTTTATCGACTGTTGCAAGCTGAAGCTGATGCAAGCGGAATCTTACAGACACACGTAACTGTAGAAAACGTAATGAACACCTGGTCCAATCAACCTGGATATCCGTTAATTACTGTAACCAGAAATTATTCGAACACAGTAACGGAAGTTTCTCAGGAACGCTTTTATTTGGATGCTGATTTAAGTACAGTGAATCCGGATAAATTTCGTTGGTGGGTGCCCGTGAATTACGCCACTGAAAATTCATTATCGAATTTCAACGTCACAAATGCCATTGACTGGATACGCCCTCAAGATAAAAGCATAATAATTAGCGAATTTAATAGTAGCGGCTGGGTGATCTTCAATGTTCAACAAGTTGGCTATTATCGGGTCAATTATGACACGACTAACTGGCATCTGTTAATTAATTATCTTAGGACTAATAACTACGACGTTATACCGCCTACAAATAGGGCATCCTTGATAGATGATGCATTCAATTTAGCAAGAGCTGGTTATATTGATTATTCGATAGCGCTAAATCTTACTAAATATTTACATCAGGAGACTGATTATATTCCGTGGGTAGCAGCAAGCAATTCTTTTGCATTCCTTGACGGAAGGCTTCTCAGGCAACCGATATATCCCGTCTACCAGGTATATAAAAAAAAAACCTATATTTAATATAATACAAAAACGTGTTATTATATTTTAATCGAAACTATTTTTTTGTTTACAGAAATATATTAACAGTCTGGTCAAGAATTTAGGAAAATCTCTCAGTTTTCATGAGAATTTATTTGATCTTCATATTACCAAGCTCTTACGTAATTTGATATTAACATGGTCGTGTAATACTAACGACGAAGACTCCTTGTATAACGCACAACGTCTTTTTGATATTTGGATAAAAGATCCTGCTTCCACGTATAAAAACATATACTTTCTGTCAGTCTAATTCTAATCGCAACAATCGTATTTATTAATTTTCTTTGCAGAATTACGCCTGACCTTAAGAGTTTTGTCTACTGTTCGGGTTTACGCAGTGCTTCCCGAAATACGTGGGAACTTGTTTGGCAAAGATATATTAATACGGATTTAGCTAATGAACAAAATTTATTACTCTCCGGTCTTGGTTGTACAGCCGATCGTACGTCGGTCGAAAGGTACATATACATAGATATTTTTACATTGAAAATAGAATTTCTGTAACTTGTGAATGGTAATTAAATTTTGTATTTTATACAGATATTTGAACATATCAATCGATCCGGCGAGTCCTGTCCGTTTTCATAACAGGAATACAATGTTCACTAGTGTACTGAGAAGCAATGTTGATAATTGGAGCGTGGTTAATCAATTTGTAAAAAATAATGCAGACAGAATTGTTGATACGTGAGTGACCAATTGTATCATACTCAGGGATTAACAAACCAGTTTCAGTTTCTATATACTCTTAACTTATGTACAATTTTCAGCTCTGGAATTTCTAGACTGTTAAGTATGTTGAACTCATTAGGAAACACCATAGTAAGCAGAGAACAGCTTAATGAGGTAAAGATTACATAAGTATTCAATTAATTAATTATCCCTGTGATAATCGACCATGTTCATTCGCCTGGTTTTTTCAGTTCCAAAATACTCTGAGTGGCTTCAATGAAAAATACTTTACTACGGATGTTAATGTCGACGATATCATAGCACGTGCCGAAAAAACTTTAGCCTGGATTGATATGTATGTTCCTGGTATTGAAATTTGGCTCGAAGAAAATATTGAAAAATCAAGTTCGACCGCCAGTACTGTAAATATTTTCACAATTACGACAGTCCTCCTTATAACGATTGTAAAAATTTTGATCGACGATCTCAATAAATTTTAATATAATCTAATCGTATATCTAAATACAACTGTGCAAGTATTAATATTTATCAGTCATTAGTAATATGAATAAGAACTGTTCTTTCGTGATGGATATCGACCTCTTTTGTGACGCATTCAAATCGATCGATTTGTTTGTGACATTGATAATGTAGGTTCTCTTTGTTTTTTTTTTTATTTGATAAATCGATAAATTAGAGTTCATAAGGATCAAAATACAAATTGAAATAAATCATTGAACTACTAGACGTGAACTCTATGTTCGCGAAGACTAAATGCGAAGATATTTTAATAAAATGGAGAAAAATAATTAAAATCAATTAATGAACAAGACTAGAGCATAAGCATATTAATTATGGCAAGGCAGCATGAAGCGTATAATAAACATTGACATTTTTCATGCGATAAAGGATATATTGAAATATGTAAAAAGTGCTTATTCAATTTTGAAATAATTTTTAATCTATCTTATTGAAAATCCGTTTAATTGATTGCAAATAGTTAATAGATCGATCATCATAAATCATCACTGTAGTTATCAGGGATTACGAGTGTCCTGATAAAGTTGAAGTCATTGAGCATGATTACGTGTACATTTTCAGAACATTTAGAAAACTCGTGCCAGTGAATTGGTAAACATTACGAAAGATAGATAGTAGAAATATCTCATCGAACGCGATCAAACTGTATCATCAATTATATCAGTGTAGATAGTCAATAATTCTTGTACCTCGGATCGTTGAAAATATCAATTTTTAAAATTATTTTCTACCAGGAGATACCGCAATCTCAAGATACAAATAATACATTTTTATCACCAGCAAGTATATCTAGAGTACCTGTGTGAAGAAACTATTAATTGTGCTCGGTATGTCAAGTGGGACTTGAAATAATAGATTTTCAAGTAAAATGCATCGAATTGAAATAATTGTTTTTCTTCTATCACTATCATTCGGATCAATAGTTGCTAACAATTTTCCGCAATATCAAGATCCAGAAATCGTAAAAGAACTTCAAGATAGACTAGAAAGCTCATTGACCCATAGACTTCCCAGCAACGTCGTACCTGATGCTTACGATCTCAAAATATATACACAAATTGCAATAGGCAACTTTACTTATCAGGGAGAAGTAAAAATTCAGCTGAAAGTGCTCTCAAGTACAAATATCATCACGATTCATAAAGATAACTTGACGATCCTCGAAAAACAGACAACTGTTTATTCCACTGTGAATCAGTCAAATAACTTTTATACGATATTAGCCCAAGATTACAATGAGAAGACACAATTCTACTCAGTCAGACTCATGGAATTTTTGAAACCAGGCAATTATGTCCTGGCACTTTCCTTCGTCGGGGAAGTTAATGATGGCTTGTTTGGATTCTACAGAAGTTCTTATACCGTTAACGGAGTTAAAAGGTAAGTTTAATATTTTTATTATAACATATATTAATTTATCATAACAATATTTATGTGATATTATTGAAATTGCATACTTCATTATTAGATGGATTGGACTGACACAATTTTCACCGACATACGCACGTCGTGCTTTTCCATGCATGGACGAGCCACATCTTAAGGCAATTTTCACTATTCATATTGGTTATTATGATAATCAAACAGTAACTAGTAACACGCCATCATTAAGAACTACTATAAAGTACGTATTAAGGAAACTAATATTTTTTTATTAATAATCAAATAATCCACAAAATTTCCATATCACTAGATCCAATTACTACTTGACTACTATGAAGGATACACCTGTCATGTCAACTTATTTAGTCGGATGGATAGTGCACGATTTTACAAATACAGAATCTCTCGATTCAAATGTCAGAATGTGGTCACGCGATGATACCAGTGCATACAGAGATTATGCATTGAATGAAGGTCACTTGATTTATACCGCACTTGAAGAGTGGATGAACTTTACGAACCCAATTACCAAAGTGGATCAATTTGCAATACCGGATTTTAATTTTAACGCCATGGAAAATTGGGGATTGATAACTTATAGGGAATCGGTTGTATTGTTTTCCGATGAATCGACACCAACAAGACATATCCATACTGGCCTCACAGTGATGGCGCACGAATATGCTCACAAGTGGTTTGGAAATTTGGTAACGCATCATTTTTGGGACGTTGTTTGGCTCAAGGAAGGATTCGCTTCATATTTTCAATATTTCGGAGGATCATTGGTACATCCTGATTGGCGAATGATGGAATTGTTTGTCGTTGATATTCTTCAACCGGTTTTACTTCAAGATTCTGATTCACACACAAGAACAATGAATGGACAAGGTGTTGGAGATGTTCAATCGATTATGGGTACCCTTGATTTTGTATCTTACAGAAAAGGTATGTTAATTCGTTCAATTTAATTAGCTGGTAGACAACTTAATTGTGATTAATAAAATTTTACTTTCACACAGCTGCATCTGTAATACGTATGCTTTCGCACAGTATAGGAGAAGACGCTTTCCAAGCAGGATTACAAAGTTACCTCAAGGATTTGTACGTTGCGTAATTTTATACTGGTATCTAATCAGCTGGATTTTTGTACGTTTCATGTTATCATTATTTTATTTCTTATCGAAGAGCTTTCTCAGCGGCTACTCCGTCAGACGTTTACTCGCATTTACAAAACTCCTCGGATTACTATGGAATTTTGCAGAGACATATCGAGGTTGAGAGAGTTATGGATACTTGGGCGAATCAACCGGGTTTCCCATTGATTACAGTTCGCAGAAATTATACGACCGAGACACTGGTGGTTTATCAAGAAAGATTTTATAAAAATCGTTCCACTTCCACTGCTGATCCTCATGCTTACAGATGGTGGATACCAGTTAATTTCGCGATGGAGTCATCGACTGAAAAGTTTTCTCAAACTAATTTCACTGATTGGCTAAGAGAGGAAGACGATAGTATTATATTTAACTATATCACATCCAACGAGTGGATAATTTTTAACTTACAACAAATCGGATATTATCGTGTTAATTATGACGAAACTAATTGGTGCATGTTGATCGAATATTTGAAGTCAGTCAATTTTGAAAAAATACCAGCAATCAACAGGGCTGGTTTACTGGACGATGCTTTCAACTTAGCCAGAGCTGGATATATTGGCTATGCGATTCCTTTGAATTTGTCAAAATATCTTATACAGGAAACTGATCATGTTCCCTGGGTTGCTGCTGGAAATTCTTTTAATTTTTTAAATTCGATTCTTTCTGCAAAACCGGCGATTCATGCTGCGTTTCAGGTAATACAGAAAGTTATGCCACTTTGTTGTAATTTTTAAACAGTCTTTTTTTCTGTTTATAGGGTTATGTTAATAGTTTACTTGTCCATGAGTATCATACTCTGAGTTTTCAAGAAAAATTTTCTGATGAGCACCTGACGAAATTGCATCGAAATCTGATATTGTCGATGGCTTGCTCTATGAATAACGAACATTGCGTGAGAAATGCTATTTCATTGTTTCAAACGTGGATTTCGAATCCGGCAGTAACGTAAAAATTCACTGTTTCTATTATATTGTCCAATATTACAGCACTAGCACTAAAAGTACATGCATTGATCACAGAATAACACCAGACTTGAAAAGTTTCGTCTACTGCACTGGAATTCGCGCTGGAAGCGAAGATGATTGGAATAAAATGTGGACACGGTTTTTGGAAACTAATTTATTTACGGAATACGAATTAATATTGGCTGCACTTGGATGTACAGAAGATTCTGTACTGATAAAACGGTATTTTGAAAATTGCATTGCTGTTATAAATTTGCATATCAGTTTTGAAATTTAAATATCTTATTCTTTGTACAGCTATTTGAATTTCACGATTAGTCCGGAATCCAAAATTCGAAGACAGTACAGATTTTCAGCAGTGAATGCCGTTGTAAACGGTAATCCAAAAAATCATGAGACTATCTTAGATTTTATTGACGTTAACATACACAGCATTGTGGAGTCGTGAGTATTCAAACATTTTTATCATTATATCTAGTTTAATTCCGCGAGCTGTACTGATTTGCACGTATGCCTTGATCGTGATAAGACAATATCACAGATTTGCTTTAGGTGTAGCACATCGTAAACATTTATCAAGACATTGTTAATTTTTTTTTCAGACGAGGTTACAGTTTTCTTAGTAACATGCTCAATGCTATTGGACAAAAAATATACACCGTGGAACAACTTGCAAAGGTAATAACGAGTAGAGACTGATATATCATATACTGATATATATTAGAAATTTTGATATCGCCTTTAATATAAAAATATTATTATTACCCTAGTTTCGAGATTTCATAGAACGTCATAGTGATCATCTAGGGGATGCAGTGGAGGCTGGACAGGATTCTATAAGTGTTGCTGAAAATAATATAGCCTGGATTGAACATTACGCACCCAGTATTGCCGAATGGTTGTCAGTGACTGAATCATCAGGATCATCAACTCTGATGAAAAATAATGCTATAACAATGATATTTATAATGATTATAATTATGTCGTATAGTCTCTAAGCAGTGAAATTATAATATTACAATATTTTTGAAAATCCAATTATAAGCGATACTACGATTTTTATTAATGACCCCTTTTTCCCTTATCTATTCGATTCCAGAAGGGAGTCCAGAAAGAATTGTAGAGATAACGATGATGATCATAACGACCTATTAAATACAATTATTCCACAAACAAAAAATATGTCTTTGATGTACTCTTAAAAATATCTGAAGTAACTTTAGCGCGTTAAAGCTTAAACTCAACTGATGCTCTAGATGATGAAATTGCATTCGTCATGTTCAGGAGGATCTGCGCACGTGTTTAAAAAAATCCTGATAATAATATAAATCGATTGAAAATAATTCAAGAGAAAATTCAAAATACTAGCAATTAATTTATCAAAGGCTTATATCATAGGATGACGAAGTATTTGACTATCTGGATAAGAATACTGTTTATCATAGCATCTCGACAGTTTCTGTTTCTTCGTGAATTAAATATCTTTGGCATGGCTAAGAATAAGACGGATAATGTGGCTTTTCTAGTGGCAGAAGTTAATTTATAATTAATTACATCAATTCATTATATAGGGATTCAAAAATGAGATTAACTTCAATCTTTATCAAAGATTAGTAATAAAAAAATAATTATAAGCCGCCTTAAATATCGAACACTGACTGATCTTTTTTTTGATGGTCTTTCAGTTCTCGGACACCACAAATACAACAGTTTGCCTGGTAACGTGTCGTCAATTCATAAAAAAAAGATCCAGTTAAATACATATAAAATTCTTCCAGTTCCACTGAAGTGCAAATGTCAAATTTCATTAAACCTAGTGATCTGTGCATATGAATAGTGTAGTTTTTGGTGTATAAAATTATAAAAATAATTAGAATAGCAAAAATTATAAAAACATTAAAAACCAACAAAAAATTATATATATATTTTTTATTTATTGCAGACATGCATCGGTCGGGCTTTACAATCGGGGTGCTTGCAACCCTGGTTGTTCTCGCATCCGGAAATCCAATAGAATTCGAAAAGTTATCTATAAACGCAGTGAACCTTCGTGATAATAAAATTTACAGATTGGCCGACAATGTTATACCAACCAATTACACCTTGAAACTCGTACCATACATATCCGACCAAAGTTTCGTTTTTACTGGCGAGGTCGAGATTGACTTCATAGTAACCAGTTTAACAAACACTATAATTCTGCATGCACTTGACATCACAATAAACGAGAATAAAACTGCATTACATTCAAAGAATGTAAGCAGCAGTTTATCAATTCACGCTCAAAGTTATGATCCCATCAGAGAATTTTTCCTTATCACTTTCAAAAGTAATCTTCCTCCGGGAAACTATAGTCTTCACTTGTCATACACTGGACACTTAGGAGATGACATGTTCGGATTTTATAGAAGCTACTATGACGTCGGTACCGAGAGAAGGTATTGAAAATGAATTTTTATGAAGCATTAATGGTAACAACTAAATTTTTATTTTTTCACAATCTTTCAATAACTTGTCTTCTAGATGGCTCGCCTCTACGCAGTTTCAGCCAACCTATGCGAGAAGAGCGTTTCCGTGCTTTGACGAACCCCGCTTTAAAACACCATTCGATATCTCAATAGCTCATTTCGCGAATCAAACTGCATCTTCTAACATGCCTGGTGACGTTAATACCACTGTCGAGTAAGATTTATTTCAATAAGTCAATGTATCAGGGTCGAAGACTTTTTAGTATCCGTCGAGATATAAATATATTTATTCATTTTCAGTAATACGATTGGTGGCAGAATCTGGACCACCTTCCAGCAGACTCCTCCAATCTCAACTTATTTATTGGCATTCGTTGTCTCCGACTTCACAAGCACTACTAACGTAAATTCAAACTTCAGCATATGGTCAAGAAGTGCTGCTGCTAGCGCTCGAAATTTTTCTTTCGTTTACGGCGAAAAGCAATATTTGGCTCTTCAAGATTACTTGGGTGTTTCTGATCCTATTCCTAAGATTGATCAATTCGCCATTCCGGATTTCAGTGCTGGTGCTATGGAGAACTGGGGTATAATTACTTACAGGTAAACATCGAATAACGTTACTTTTGACATGAGTCCCCAATTAAGGAGAGACTTGATCCGATCAATTGGTTGAAGTCTGGAAATTGCGTATCTCAGAGATTGTTATTAGTACGATTATCGTAATCATTTTTTTTCTTTCTGTATTATAGGGAAAGATTGCTACTTTGGTACGATGGCGTATCCACACCTCGTGATCAGGAAAATGTAGCTACAGTCATGTCGCATGAGTTCGGTCACAACTGGTTCGGTAACCTAGTAAGTCCCGAATGGTGGGACTATCTATGGATGAACGAAGGTTTTGCTAGCTATTTTGAATATTTCGCAACCTCTTTGGTCCACACCGATTGGCGTTTGATGGAAAGATTCGTTGTTTATGCTCTACAACCAGTTCTAGTATTGGATTCGTTGGAATCCTCTAGGCCCATGACTAATTCAGTTGGTAGTTCAGCTTCCGTCCTTGGCAGTTTCGACAGGATTGCCTACAGCAAAGGTCAGCCATTTTTTTATAGATTCATAATCAAATTGTATCCCGAATGTTGAGTCTCATTTATTAAATTCATTACAGCTGCCTCCGTTCTTCGTATGTTGAACCATATTATGTCGGAACCTCTTTTCAATCAAGCTCTGACCAACTACCTTAATGAGAGGTATGTAATTTTACTGTATTTTCTTTTTACTTCATACTACATGCGAATCCAATTTTTTTCAGGGCCCTGAATGTAACAACACCAAAAGATCTATGGCGTCACATGCAAGCTGTTTCCGAGACAAATAGTCATGTGCAGGCTCATACAAATATGGAAGATATTTTCAACACCTGGGTTAATCAACCAGGATATCCGGTTCTGAATGTGGGAAGAAATTATTCCACAACCGTAGTGGTACTCACGCAAGAACGCTTTTTCCTTAATCCACGATCTCCAACTGCTGATCCAGATGCTCAAAGATGGTGGATACCTATTAACTTCGCTACACCGAACAGTCTATGGCGATTCGACGTAACCAATTCCAGTGATTGGTTTCGTCCTCAAGATGGGTCTCTCATTATTTCTGGTTTTGGACCAACCAATTGGGTCATCTTCAATACTCAACAAAGTGGATACTTCCGTGTTAATTATGATCCTATCAATTGGTATATGATCATTGACCAATTGAAGGGTGAAAATTACACCGTAATTCCTCCAGTAAATCGTGCTTCTCTCATCGACGATTCATTGAACTTTGCTCGTGCTGGATACATTAATTACAGTCTTGCTCTCGATCTGACTACATACTTGGAGCATGAAGACGATTACGTACCTTGGTACGCTGCTTGGACTAACTTTGGTCATCTTAACAGAATGCTTGCTCGAAATAAAAATTACGCATTATGGGAAGCTTACGTCAGAAAGCTCATTGAACCCAGTTATAATAATTTGACGTGGACCGTTTCATCTGATGATGATCACGTCACGCGATTACAGCGTGGACAGGTACTCAATTGGGCTTGCAATTTCGGAGTTCAAGGTTGCCGCGAGGAAGCTATTACTAGATTCAACAACTGGATCAGTAATTCTACAAATACGTAAGTATTGTTAATCTGGAAAAAAAAAGTTGAACTAATCACGGCTCCTTGGTCCATCTTATTAGAATCCATCCTGATGTAAAATCAGTGGCTTATTGTTGGGGAATCAATAATGCCGACCAAGCGACTTGGGATATTGTTTGGAATCGATTTTTGGAAAATGATATTTCCACCGAGGAAGTGCTTCTTCTTAGCTCCTTGGGTTGCAGCGAAGATCCAGCTATTCTTCAGAAGTATTACTAACTGCTTTTTTATTAATACTTTTTATTCGTACGGTCGTATGGCATTCAGTAATCTTTTTCATCTCAGGTACCTAGAGCTGTCTATCACTCCGGATTCTGGAATTCGGTCTCAGGACAGTGCTTCGGTTTTCAATTCCGTACTCAACGGTCCCAACAGTAATTTGGAAGTTGCTCTCAATTTCATTGCAACTAATTTTACCGCAATTTCCGAATTGTACGTATAATCTATATAGAAAAAATGATAACACTTTTTGTTGAATCTTTGAATTCACAAGACGATATGATATTTTAGTTACGGTGGACTGAACTCCGTCGCCAATATGCTTACCGCGATTGGCAATAGAATTACCACTGAGGATCAACTGATACAGGTAAAATCTTGTCAGAGGCATAGTAATTAATTATTCTGATATTTTAAAAACTCTTCAGCACAAATATCTAACCTACTTTTTTTTCCCAATTCCAGTTGAAAATATTCACGACTGCGAACAATTTTGGTGCAGCCCAAGCATCTGTTGCTAGTACCATCCAGCTTGCTGAATCAAACATGGAATGGCTATCAGACAATGCTGATAGTATTTTCAGTTGGCTTGAAGACCAGAATTTGCCAATACCGAGTTTGCCAATACCTCCTGTAGAAAGCGATGCATCACCGTCGTTCTACATATCTAGTATGCTGATAACGCTTATGATCAGTTTAACAATGATCACAAATAATTTTATGTAAATTATAAAATCCCTCTGATAAATATTATATCTTCGACGTGTCACATTGAGATGTATAATTTATCGTTTCAATGATATTGATTAAGCCAGCCTCTGATTTCTTGAATGTTATCTACTGTAAATTGAAATGTCGAAATGAAATAAAATATGCTAACATAAATTTCAAGAGTGTCATAGAAAGAAAGCAGAGCAATTTTTTTTTTCTTAATCATAATTCAAAGATTAAATTTTCTTTAATAGCATTGAATGACCCCCAAACATTTTTTCAAGTACCGCACGAGTTACAAAAAAATAAAATATGTATATCATGAAACGTGTGTAATATACCCCAACAGATTTTTCGTTAAATAATTTTTCATTGCATAACTGTAAATGTGAGAAACGTTAGTGCTGAATTCGAAATAATAAATCGGGCCACTTTCAGTATGATAAATCAACGTCAGACTTGTGTGATACGATGATCTTGCAAGAAAACGGATTAGATTCATTAATTTAAGGAATTAAAGTATTACCAAAGTTTACAGATTTAGATAAGAATGCAACTGGAAATAATTTCCGTCCGGAGTACACAGGATGGAGAGAAAGATGTAAAGATCAAGATTAACATGTACTCCTAAATTTATCTGCTGGTTAACAAGGGACAGCAAATTAGACGAATTTGTAAAATTTTATGAATATCAGTATATTGACAAACGGGTAAGACTCAATTTCAAGAATTTCATACTTCAAGTAATGAGGTTTCACATCGCCAGTTTATTGCTGGCAACTTATATTACATCCTCATATGGCTGTAATCCAATTTGTAATTCACTGAAATTTTTTAATCACGAAGACAACAAAGGCACAGATTGCGATTTCAACAGCTGAAATTCGCTCTGAATCGCAGAGTATTTGCCAGATGCTATTGCTTGATTAGCAGTGAACGTAAAGAATCCAAAACCAGAGATAGCTGGAGTTATAAATCAGATAATAAGTTTCATAATTTAATAATTCGTTCCAATGCAGATTTTCATATAATTCAAAGCTGCCAAAAATCTAAATGCTTAAAAAATAACTCTTTACTATTGTCAATGTCAAAGGAGTAGCGTTACACAATTTTTAACAGTAAAATACAGCTGCAAAGTAACTCGCTAAGCTATTATCAAACGCACTACTTATACAGTCACTATCGGTATAGATATCTTAATGTACTTTATCAGGTGACTAGGATATAAGTGACATAGCTTTTCTTAAATGCAGAAAATAAAGTAATAAAAGAATTTCTGAGACAAAGATCTAAATAAACGTACCTCAGTTTTATAATGATTTATATGATTCATTATCGTACAAAAACGTGACAGACGTTACAAATTACATCATTTTATGTATACACTCCGTAAAACATTTCATAAACAACAACAACAACAATGACTGTATATGTACAATTGTCCAAAGGTCAATTACCCAATGCTGTCTAATCAAAAAAAATTTTTTTTTTACCACAACGACAATTAGTTCAAGTATCTAATGCTGTAGTCTGATAAGATAGTGTACTATGCATGATAAGGTGTTTATGGATGCGGACTATGGCCACATGTTTACTCATATATTCTTGTTCAAATGAAGAATATGTGACAAAGGCTGCTAGTCCTCCGGTGTTGCATACCGGCTACCAAGGTACTCAATAACTCTTTCTTCTTGCATCTCGATATCTCAATAAATCACATTGTTCGAGGAGTGACGTGCAAAGGCATTAAGGTCATTAAATTTTATTATAAAATTGTCTATAATTAATCATAAATTTCTGAATGCAGATGGGCCGCACCGGACTTCTTCTCGTCGCTCTGTTGTTAGGTGTTGTAAACGGAACGCCTATTAACGTTAAAAGTGCTAGAACCAGCTCGAAGGGAATAAGTGCAAAGGAAACGGCACAAGCTGATAATGATTATCGTTTACCAAATAATACAATACCGATATCATATGAAGTTAAATTAGTACCATACCTAGAAGAAAATATATTCACGTTCACCGGAAGCGTCAGCATTTCGGTTTCCGTTGTGGATGAAACAGACTCTATTGTTCTACATGCTGACTCGTTGAATATTATCAGTACCAGTGTTGTTAATTCGAATGGCTCTGTTCTTAATGTCAATAGTACAACTTTCAATAAGAATTTAAACTTTTTCATAATTTCCTTCAAGTCCACATTGACTGTCGGCAATTACGTTATCAGGATGATGTTCGATGGTAAACTCAACGATGAGATGTATGGTTTCTATAGGAGCTACTACTATACGGATACTGGAAAGAAAAGGTGAGAAAAATTTGACAATGTTTTTATTTCGCACAAGACCCTATCATTTTTTGTATCCTTCTCGTTGTTCACTGACAAGTGTATTTTTGAATTTTAGATGGCTAGCTACTACGCAATTCGAACCTGTTTACGCACGTTCAGCGTTTCCATGTTTCGACGAGCCTGCCCTCAAAGCATACTTTTCGATTAGTATTGCTCACCACGCCAATCAAAGTGCAGTGTCGAACATGCCAAATATAGAGATCTCGGAACCAGAGTCAGTCTATCTTTTTATTAGATCGTGATGCTCGTTACATTTTTGATGAACTATTAATATATTTTTTTCTTACAGCTCAACCATAGGCAATCGTGTCTGGAGCACTTTTCGAACGACACCCTTGATGTCCACTTATCTTTTAGCTTTCGTTGTATCCGATTTTCAGCATATTTCCACAGCTAATGATACCTTCAGAGTTTGGTCGCGCTCTAATGCATTGAATATAGCCAATTACTCTTTGGAAGTTGGTCTACAGGAATTAAATAGTTTGTCTGCGTTTACCGGGTACAACTATAACAGAGCACTTCCAAAAATGGACGAATTTGCCATTCCGGATTTTTCTGCCGGCGCTATGGAAAATTGGGGTCTGGTCACTTACAGGTAATATGATTAGGTAATGTGGCCTTTTATCAAATTTCTTAATTTATCCTAAACTTTCAGGGAACGTCTACTGCTGTGGAAATCTGGTGTATCCACCAGCAGAAATAAACAGAGTATAGCTAGTGTAGTGTCACACGAGTTTGCCCACCAATGGTTTGGAAATTTGGTTGGTCCTCTATGGTGGAAATACCTGTGGTTGAACGAAGGATTTGCAACCTACTTCGAATACTATACAACATCTTCGGTGGAGACTTCTTGGTGCCTCATGGATCAGTTTACATTGGAGAATTACCATACCGCTTTTCTTATAGACAGTTTGGATACCTCTCATCCAATAAATCAAGACGTCAACTCTCCTAGTGAAATTAATTCTATCTTCGACACGATTTCTTATCAGAAAGGTACGACAGTCACGGTATTGCAATTAGACGTAGGAGAGTGTGACATATTTTCAGGATTAAGATTTGCTTAGATATACCAATATAATACATACGAAGTGATACGAAGAAATTTTTATTTGGACCAGGTTAAATATAATAGTTAGATAATATATTGTTAATTAATATCGACCTTATCACGATCTTTCAGGTGGTTCTATAATACGTATGATGTCACACTTTTTTGGTGAAACTATGTTCCGGAAAGGATTGCAAACTTATATAGCAAATATGTAAGATAATACATTTCTTCTTATGATTAGGTTAATTCAGGTCAATCCAAATAATTTGTATTAATAAATTTCATTGATTATCCTATTAAGGGCTTTCGGTGCAGCTACGCCTGACGATCTTTGGTATGCTTTGGAATTAGTAACAAACACTTCAGCGGCAGGTCTTTTACCTGCCCATGTCTCAAGAATTATGGATACATGGACCGAACGAAAGGGATACCCCCTGGTTACGATATTAAGAAATTATTCGACGGGAGTTCACAAAATTTCTCAGGTAACAGAATCACGCGTACGATGGATTTAATACCAACATCATAAATTTCGTTTAATTTCAGGAACGTTTTCTTCTGAAAGGTCGTGGTTCATCCAACGATACTACGAGATACAAATGGTGGGTGCCAATGAATTCAGTGTCAAGAAGCACCCTCAACTTTTTACACACTTATGCAAGCTTTTGGCTTTCCGATTTCGTCGATGATAGTTATCTGCTAAGCGAATTTCTGCCAACTGATTGGGTAATTTATAACATACAGCAAACAGGTAATGATAATGTTAATAAGCTTATTCGGCTGTAATGATAAAGTTATCTGCTAATTCAAGATTCTTTAACTGTGGATAAGAATGAAAAAGTAAATTTTTAATTACCTTTGATTCTTATATGTATAATTCTCTTTATCATTGTCTTCTCAGGTTATTATCGTGTGAACTACGATGACACAAACTGGCAGTTGATTACGGATTATCTTCGGACAGCCGATTATCAGAAGATTCATGTATTAAATCGCGCACAACTTATAGACGACGCATTGAATTTGGCGAGGTCTGGTTATCTTAAATATGATATCGCTCTTAACTTGACTACATACTTATCACAGGAAGTGGATTATGTCCCATGGACAGCAGCCTTTACGAACTTTGGATATCTTAAAAAAATGTTGAGCCATTCAACGGGTTATGAATTCTTTAAGGTAAAATTAGAGCATTGTTAAATTAAATAATCAACGTGATATAAATTTCTTTTACAACGTAGTCTAAACTTACAGTCTTACATCTCGAGTCTAGTTACTCCTTTGCATAAAAAATTGAGCTACGAAGAATCAAATTCGGATGATCATCTAACAAAGTTGAATCGACTCAATATACTTTCCTGGTCCTGCCAAATGGGCAGTGCGGAATGCGTTAACAAAGCTGAAAATATTTTGCTCGACTACTACAGCAGTCCAGATCCTGATAATTATCTGTGAGTTGTCTTACATAGAGAGAAAAGAAGAAAAAAATGAAATATATTAATTATTACTTTTCTATAGCGTGCCCCCTGATCTAAAGGCTTGGGTTTATTGCGAAGGTCTAAGAAACCTGAATTCGTCTGTCTGGAAATTCCTGTTGGACCGATATTATGCAACTGATTTATCTACCGAGCAAACTCTGATTCTTTCCAGCTTGGGATGCAGTCTGAACGAACAAATTATTACCGAGTAAGAATGAAATTAAGAATAATCTCAATGTCGAAATTTCACAAAAACTAACATCTTTTTTACCCAATTTCATATAGCTATCTTTTACTCTCTATACGTGAGGATTCCGGAATTAGGTCTCAAGACACATACTACATATTCACTTCCGTTACGTCCGGAAGTATGTCAAATGTCGATATCGCCTTCGACTTCCTCTCCAACCATTACACAGCTATATCGAACTTGTGAGCGAAAAACATTCTTAATTGAATTTACCCATTCGTTATTGGCATTCCTTTATGCATGTTTAATGTTTTTACAGTTACGGCGGACAGAGCAATATTGGCAACATGTTGAACAATCTTGGGCAAAGAATGGTCAGCAACGAGCAAGTCACTAAGGTAAGTCTATCTTTCTAAAGATTATATATCTCTATCAAAATATACATCGATGATACACTCTAATAAATTTCCAACTAAGATTATATATTTGGATAAGGATTTATCATAACTGTTTCTCTGTTTTGACGGAGTGTCTAATTTATCAATTAACGTGACATGTGCCTATCTTGATTCCAGCTTAAGGCCTTTGTTGCACAACACAGCAATGACCTTGGCACTGCTGCTGCAGCAGCTGAACGGGCTATTGAGCTTGCGGAGGAAAATATCGCTTGGCTTAACAATTATGAAACCGATATTGTATCATGGCTGACCATTAGGAATCCAAGTAGCAGCGCCACCAAGTTTACGCTTAGCATTGCGGTCGCTGTTTTCAGTCTTATAGTATTTAGAATATTGTAAATTAAGAGTAAATATATACTCCAAATAACACTTACGTGTAAAAAATTACGCCAAGTACAGAAGTGCTGTGAATTCCTGTAACATAAAGTATTGAAATCATATTATTGAGGCCAAGTACTTAAGTCACTACATGTTTGCCAATTATATGATCTAGCACTGACCCATCATTTTAATTGTGTTTTCGAAATGTCCTATAACGCCTTCGCTGCTCTTTTACATTACTACTGCTTCCCGTATTTAATTATGATTTAATGGTGATTTAATAATTAATAAAACTTTAGGTGATTCCTTATCGAGTACTACTTGGCGGGTCCGTGCATTTCTTGATATAAATTTGGTACAAAACCAGTACCAATTTTCTATAGAAAGCATATTAACAATAACTCGTCAAAAATAATCACGGTAAAAGCTTAATAACAAACATACAGCATTAGAATACTATGAGCACGTGCAAAGTAAGTACTTTGGAATTCCTGGCACGGACCCGCCAAGTAGTACTCGATAAGGAATCACCTAAAGTTTTATTAATTATTAAATCACCATTAAATCATAATTAAACACGGGAAGCAGTAGTAACATAGAAAAGTAGCGAAAACCTTATAGGAAATATTGAAAATATAATTAAAATGATGGGCCAATGCTAGATCATATAATAGGAAAACATGTAGTGACTTATGTACTTGGCCTCAAAAATATGATATCAATACTTTTTGTTGAAAGCATATTAACAATAACTCGTCAAAGATAATCACGGTAAAAGCTTAATAACAAACATACAGCATTAGAATACTATGAGCACGTGTAAAGTAAGTACTTTGGAATTCCTGGCACGGACCCATCAAGTAGTACTCGATAAGGAATCACCTAAAGTTTTATTAATTATTAAATCACCATTAAATCGTAATTAAATACGGGAAGCAGTAGTAACATAAAAGAGTAGCGAAAACGTTATAGGAAATATTGAAAATATAATTAAAATGATGGGCCAGTGCTAGATCATATAATAGGAAAACATGTAGTGACTTATGTACTTGGCCTCAATAATATGATATCAATACTTTTTGTTAGAGGAATTCACAGCAATCCTGTACTTGGCGTAGTTTTTTACACGTAAGTGTTTTTTGGGGGATAAGGAGTTGACTCGGGTAAAGAGTCTGTGGCGAGCTGTACTGTACAGCCGGTTCCCTGTACTTGGCGCGAGACTCGACCGAGTCTCTTGATATATAATATTGTAACGTATTTTTCTTAACTCGGCACCGATAGCGAAAAACCCGAGAACGAACTATCTTCGAGAACCGACCTACGTTACCTACGACCGTTCACCCTACGCTCATGCATTCACAAGCTAGGCGGCGGTATGACCTGGGAGTTGGGGTGGAACAGGCCCAACTCCGCCAAAACGAGAGCTCGGACGGAACCTATCAGATAACTTAACGGATCCTGTAGATTTTTTGGGGACGCGTAAAATCGAGAAACGCAACCGTAGGTTCTGATCTTTGGGGTCGCGTAAAATCAGCAAACTCAACTGGATGCACGAACGAGAGCGGACGGTTACGGAAATGCACGGCCGCTCAGGCTGCTAGGTTGAGCTAGAGAGGGTCGGAGTAAGCGTCAGGCAAATAGTGCGAAATACAGAGAACAATTGATCGAGAACGCAAATGAATCAAAGCTGTAAAATCGAAATCCCTTAACCGATTAATAAATTGAGAGCACTCACCGGAGCTGGGGCAGCTGATCCGTGAAGGCCGAGAACCGCATCCAGGAGACACTCGGGGGGGCACTGCACTAGGACACAACACTGCACTCCCGGAACACTCACAGAAAATCCATCGGCCTTCTTGGACATCGCGAGAGCAACGCGAGAACTACACAAACGAAAGTACTTTCTATACCGTATCGAAATACGGCTAGAAAAACTATAAACAGACAGCACGGGAGCGCGACGCAGCTCGTGACACGTCGGTCGGTGTCCCGAGACGGACTGCTTTTACAAAGTAGCCAAATTCGAGAACTAATCATTCCGATCATCTGATTGGTCGAGATCCTTATAGGCGTTAACTCTTCCATCTCCCTCGAGTCGTCCCTTTAAACCAAATCGAGAGCATTCCTTAGCGAATCGGTATGTAACTTTTGGAGATCTTCCACGGCCGCTTCCCCAGGGCATCGGGCGACAGCTGGGCACCACGTCCTTAACTCGGGTCAGGGCGTTCCTCCCCTACCCTTAACCGTAACAAAACCTGATCTCCGCCAGCATTGAACAAAACCAACCCTCTGCTCATCTCCAGCGGGGCTCCGGTATCTCGTCCGGGCTTCTGCCGGTCCATGGAGACGTCTCCGTCGGGTACTCTCCTTTGCCGGGCAACTCGGTACGTCGAGACTATATCCCCACGGTAGTTTCGAGCACCTACCTCAACTAAATAATACGAAATCGTCCAAGAGCATTGGCGTAACTATACGAATCAACCCGAGAGCGCAGCTTCTGAGCAGGGTGGCGACCCGAAGGGAACCAGAAATCGAGAGCATTATTTGTATCGGTAGCCGGAGTCGCCTTGTGACCGTGAATCGAAAAATCACATCACAATATATATGACGTTATAGCAATTACTGTAAATAGTGTTAGCACATCTGTTGTAATTAAATTGTATAAAGAAATGTTGACCAATTTTATTTTTAATATAGTTTTCATCGCGTGCGTCTTTTCATTCAGGGAGCTAACGTACGTGAGTATTAGGAATTTTGTTGATAAATTTTAGCACAATGTTGCTACTGCTCTTAATTGTTTACTAATTAGGGACGACGCGATTGCCTCTATTAGTGCGATTTTATGGTAGTATACTAATTTTGAGTTTGGAAAATTATTGCACTCCAGTTTACTCTATCGAGGTCTCAACAATGACTAGTATCGGGTTGTTCATAGTGTTTGGATTAATTTTTGCGGTATATTCGTATATCCCAGTGAAATTCGATACCGTGTATTTAAATGAAATGATATATCCGAAAAATTATAAATTACGATTCAATTTAACAGATGCTGATAATTGTGATTGGAGACCCTGTTTCTATTCGGTTGAAGTTAATATCACGTTATTTGTAAAGGTTAGAACTAAATCGATTTTACTTCACTGCGAGAAGGATCTCGAGGTACATGAGGAAAAAACTCGGTAACGATTGTGAAAAATAGAAAGAAATTTTGAATCATCATCCAATGATTTACTTATGGAATCGTGCATTTTGTCTTACTAAGGTTATTGAAGCAATTCGACAATGGTACCTTTGAAAATTTATTTATTCTCAATCACGAGAAAATAACGCAAAATAATATCTCGACTTTGCACATTGAAATTGACATGTTCCGAGAGAGGCACGTCGCTAACTACACACTGATGCTTTACTGCACGAGAAAAATAGAAAATCATTACGGCATCTTTTATTCTGGATCAGCAGACAAAAATCACAGGTAAGAAAAATGATTATTAAAGAAAAAAATTATTTATCTTCAATTACGGAAAAAAGGAATATAAGAAATGATTTTTTCAATTAAAAACTTTGTATAGAATCCTCGTGGCAACCTACATGCTTCCAACTTTTGCACAACGTGTATTTCCTTGCTTCGATGAACTGAAATGGCGCTCGACTTTTGAGATTGAAGTAATTCATAATAAATCGTATCGAGCCATAGCCAATACTGCTTTGCGATATCGTGAAAATTTTTCTGATCAAGCTGACATATCAAAATTCATAAAAACTGCACCTATTAACCCTTCTCAACTATTTTTTGCTGTCTTGTCTTACGTAACATTGAACAAAACCAAGGAGAGGCCATTTAACATTTGGTACAGACCGAGCATACCTTTTGACAATGTTGAATTGGTAGCGAAGTATGCTGCAATATTTTTTAACATCATGACAACAGCAACCAAGATAACAAATATAACCAGTGAAAAAATGGATATTATTATTGGCGATGGATTGCACACGTCCAAGTGGTACAGTACAAGGGGTATAATATTATTTAGGTAAATAGTAAAAATAATTTATAAAAAGTTTCTTTAAACTTCTCCGTTATATTGTATTTCACTTATTTCACTTACAGCGAAAGAAATATTTTAATCGATTCCAAAGAATCTACGACCGTTGATAAATTTCACGCTATATCAAATATTGCAAATGCTGTTGCCTTTCAATGGATTGGCGCTTTAATTCGTCCATATCATTGGAGTCAATTTTGGATATACAAAGCCATGGCTCAATACGTTTCATATTTTTTGATTGATAAAATCGAACCATCATGGAGGATCTATGATCAACTATTGGCACGCTCTTGTTTGAGGGCTAGAAAGGAAAGAGAATATTCATCAACACCACCTTTGAGTTATTATTTATTTGATTCATATGAAATAATCTATTTTCGCGAAGATCTCAGCGTCATTGATTTAGGTGCAACTCTCATAAGGATGATAGATGAAACAATTGAATTTAGCGGAACTCTTAAATTATTAAATATTCATTTAAAAAACTGGTACGTATTAGTTTTGGTGCTATAGGGTGAATGGCCTAATCATCGGCCATGTACCGGTAATCGTCAGTCTGTGCTTTGACTATAGCAAAATCTACAGTGTTATAACATAATTGAGGATTACTGGTACGTGGCTATTGTCTGGGCCATCCATCTTAATTAGCAAATTTTTTGTTAACGCATTTAAAGATTTTAATTCTAAAGGATGAACGCTAGATATGGACCGACGATTGCAGCTTTTTTGAGGAACAGAACATCTCCCTATGCTTCGTTAATAGCAAGCGATTGGATTAACAATCCTGGTATTCCTGTTATTCATATTTACGAACATCCGGATAATTCGAAAATATCTTTGTTTCAGGTCAGTCCAATTTATCCAAAAGTAACAGCATTTTATATATTTTACATAATATTGTTACCTGACCTTCATACTTTAGGAGCGGTTCTATATTTTCGGCACGTGGGCACGTTTATTGTACAAATGGTGGATTCCGATAAAATGCTTCGAACAATCAAACAATACGTATCTGCATTTGTGGATGATTCCTACGGAATCAGAATACACCTTACCGATACGAATGAAATCCTGTCTTCTCAATACTACGACATTCGGTAAATAAGAAAATAAATTTAACATTAAATCAAATTGATGACAAGCATAAACTGCTACTTCAGCCGTATATCGTTTTAATTATCCCGCCGTATGGTGGAAGTATATTTTCCAAGAATTGACGAAAAATCATCGTTTTATCAACGAAATGCAAAAAATGCGTATAATCGATGATTTGTTTCGCATGGTCATCGCTAAACATCAACAGCCGCACTTACTCACTTACTTATTTGAGTATCTCGAAAACGAAGTTGATTATTTTCCGTGGCTCGCCGCGGCAAAAATTTTCAAATTTCTTCAAAGCATTCTCAAATTTGGAACAAGCGAGGAACGGAAGGAATTATTTCGGGTCTGTTATCTTGATTGATCGTGCATGACTAAATTAGATACTGTCAGATGGGATAACGTGTTTCTGTCAATGATTAATTGATAACGTGATAATTCATACAGATTGAAATTGTACGTATTACCAATAAAATGTACAAAAAAATTGGATTTGACCCAAACAAGGATGATAATTACATCACGAGGATACATCGAGGATTGATGATGGATATTTCGTGTTCCTTTCGATCTGAGGATTGTCTGACGATCATGAAAAAGAAACTTCATTGCTACATAGCGTCATCTACTAAAAGGTCTGATATCATAATCAAGAAATTTTTGTGATACAATGATTTTCCAATGACGCTTTATATTTTTCATGACTTTTGCAGATTTAATCGTGAAAGGGAAAACTTTTCTAATTTATGCTTCTTTGATGCTGACACACGGGTAAACACACTTTGCCAAGGCCTACGTCATGCCAATTATGAAACTTGGTTAAAAGTTTTTGAAGTATTAAATGATCCAAATATATCTCCAGCTACCAAATTGGTGATCGAACGATCCCTAGCTTGTACAGAAGACCCAATTGTTCTTAACAGGTAAAAAAATATCTTTCACCTGTTAAATATTCAATCTATTCATAGACATAAAAATGTATGTTTTCAGCTTTCTGGAAACACTCTTTGACGCTGAGCATCCAATAACGGAAAATCTATCAGTGTTACTTCTTAGGGCTGCAAGAATGAATGAAGAAAACGCCCAGATAATTTTACAATACATTATCACGAATTATCATGGATTCATCCATAAGTATTGCACGTATATATAAATAACAAGTGCCAGAAAATTCTATTGACTTAAATTTGTATTTTTCAGTGTTGTTACCCCGCACGAAATAGCAATAAACATTTATAACATTCTCAAGGAAGTTTACGATTACCATACAATAGACCAAGTGGTAAATAATTCACGAATATATATAAAAAGCCAAAAAAGTCAAAATTACGTGTACAAATTTCGTATTACAGTTTTTACCATTTCTGGAAAACAACTCAGTATCCTTTGACTTCTCACTGGTATTAAAGATGCAGGAAATTGCGAGAACAAATCTAATAATAATCAACGAGGTTCGACCAATCCTAGAAAAATGGTTTGACGAAAGACTGGAAACATGAAAATCGATTCACAATAAAATATCAACAGCAAACAAAAATTATTTCCTACAAGTCACAGCACATACATAAGAGCGTCCCATTACTTAAACCATTACTGGTCCATTGATAGGTGCAGTAGACCAACAAGGGCCCATCACTGGTCCAGTCCAAAACGTTTGTTGGGATCCTATAATAAAATAAATTAATTGACTCATTAAAAATAAATAACATGTAATCGATCAGCCCAACTATATTTACGATCACCAACACTATCGATACCATTAGATAAAAGGACAGTTGGTAATAGTCATTCGATTACCTTACCACATCTACCTGTTAATAAGAACGAATAAAGAGACTTTAAAAAATCCCAATTGATTAGGAAATTATTACTTCGATGTCGTCTCAATACTTTAATAATGTCTTATAAATTATACGAACATCACATTACTAGCACATCGATAATCCACATGCCATTAAACTACTTTTTCAATGTCCCGATACAGATCGAAATCTTATCAGGAGATTAAACAGGGACTGCAATTTTTTGTTCTCACTGATCTCTGATAGCCAGTAATGTCTTAGAGACTTATAAGACTGACACTTTTTAAGGTTTCAATCGAATGATAATAGTTTCCTAGAGGCTGTTCATACACTCAGTCCATGCTCTGGTTAACTAAGGTATGTTTCTCTAACAGCTAGTCACAGTGTAGCTACGACAGTGAATTATCACAATTTGATTTTTAAATACCGATTTCATATGTAAATATCAATTAAATTATTTAATTACATAGCAAATCTATTTAATTGTATATAATTATTCATTAAAATCCCATAGATCAACCAGGATGTCGAAAATCTTAATTGGCCTACTCATTATAACCACTCTACTCACCGTGACAGTGTCCAGTCCAATTTCTCGCACTGTAACGGCCATTACGAGAGATGACATCGATTACCGTCTTCCAAATAATTCAATACCAATTTCCTATAAGGTCGCACTGATACCACATCTAACAGTGGGAAACTTCAAGTTCGATGGTGAAATCAGCATAGATCTACAAGTTGTAGAAGCTACCTCGTCCCTTACGTTACATACAAATGATCTGACAATTGACGAAAATGCAACAAGCTTAACAGGAAAAAACACTGTACAAACCATAAGCAATCACACTTACGACTTAACGAGACACTTTTTAATGATCAATACTGCGACTGTGCTCGCACCTGGAAATTATACGTTGAACATCAAATACATTGGTAATTTAAATAATGCCATGCGTGGATTCTACAGAAGCTCCTATATCAATGACAACGGGGAAACTGTGTACGTAAAATATTTATAATATAATTTGGATAAACATTTTTTTTTGTATTAATTAAATATTATATCGCAGATGGCTCGGCACCACGCAATTTGAACCGACCCACGCGCGACAGGCATTTCCGTGTTACGATGAACCTGCGCTGAAAGCTACTTTTGATATTTCCATTAAGCATTCCGTTAATTACACTGCAATTTCAAATATGCCTGTTCTTCGTCAATCCGAGGTCAATGCAACCGAAGACACGATATGGACATATTTTGAAACGACTCCTATTATGTCCACGTACTTGGTTGCTTTTATTGTTTCTGATTATGGATATATCAGCAACGTTAATCAGACTTATCGAGTTTGGGTTCGCAAGAATGCACTTGCGTATGCACAATATGCATATGATATTGGTCTTGTGGAACTTGACTTGATGGAAAATTATACCGGTGTTGCTTACAACTTGCCAAAAATGGATCAAGCTGGTATTCCTGATTTTTCGGCAGGTGCCATGGAGAATTGGGGTCTTGTGACGTACAGGTGATATCAAAAAATTTATTTGGTCATAATCTACAGACAGGATTACTGGGTACTAACGTAACACGCTTATCAATTTCAGGGAATCATACTTCCTTAATCAAGAAAATGTCACTAGAGTCAATATACATCAATATACTGCCACTGTAATCTCTCATGAATTTGCTCATCAGTGGTTTGGAAATCTCGTTGGTCCAGCATGGTGGAAATATCTGTGGCTGAATGAGGGTTTCGCCAGATATTATCAATATTATATAACCGACATGGTAAGGTAGTATTGAATTAGGCGTTACGGTAGAAACGATTCTTGACAATCGCATCATTATTATCTAAATAATTTCAGGCGGAGGACAATTGGCGCACGGTAGACCAATTCGTGATCAAAGTTCAGCAGGGTGCTGCATTCGTTGATGACGGAATGGCAACGTCACATCCTCTAAATTACGACGTGGGAAGTCCTTCCGAAATCAGTGCAATTTTCGACACGATTTCTTACAGCAAAGGTAATATCCTTAGAGACAACTATTCTATATCTAAATGTTTTATTAAACTTGACAACAATTGTTCCAGGTGCTTGCGTCATAAGAATGATGCAACACTTCATGTCCGAGGAGGTTTTCAAAGCTGGTTTAACCAAGTACCTTAACGCGCGGTGCGTTCTTAATTAATTAATTAATTATTTTCACTGTTGATGACAAGTTCGCCTAATTTCAAATTATTCTATCACAGGGCATACAGCTACGCAGATTCGGACGATCTCTTCGAAGGCCTGCAGGCAGCTGTGAACGAAAGTTACATACTTCCAGTTCACTTGTCGATTAAGGAAATAATGGACACCTGGGTAGAACAAATGGGTTATCCGGTTATAACAGTTGTGCGAAATTATACAACTGGCACTGCAGTGCTCACGCAGGAAAGATTCCTGTTGACAGAGTCAACAGTATCCGATAATCATGATTACAAATGGTGGGTGCCAATCAATTACGTCTTGGAAAGCAATCCAGACTTCCGTGACACATTGGCTGATGATTGGATTCGAGCACAAGACGAGAGCATAATAGTAAACATAGACAACAGCATGGACCTGTGGTTGATTATCAATAAACAACAAACTGGTAAGTTCTTCAACATTGTTCGATAGAAACAACAATTGTAATTCTTATCAATCGGATTGTATATGGTTATATTATTTCAGGCTATTATCGCGTGAATTACGATGACACTAACTGGGCTTTGATAACCAAATACTTGAATTCTAATAAATACAAAAATATTCATGTACACAACAGAGCCCAACTTATAGATGACTCATTAAATCTCGCTCGATCTGGTCGTCTTAGTTATTCGGTGACCTTCGACCTGCTCACGCATCTCGTCCAAGAAGTCGATTACGTCCCATGGTACGCGGCCTTCACCGGTTTCAGTTTCCTGAAGCGGATGCTGGCCAACACCAAGGAATATGATACCTTTAAGGCATATATACGCATTTGCTAAATAAATGGAGATCAGATTTTTTATTTTATATTTACAGACACTTAAATACTTTTAATCAACTTTACTTTCAGGCTTTCGTTCTGCATCTGGTCACCGCTCTTGTCGAGGACGTCGGTTACGACGCCCTGAAGGATGATGAACATCTTACCAAATTCAATCGTCCAAATGCATTAACTTGGGCCTGCAATTACGGGCACGTTGCATGTCTTTCGACTGCACAAGAGAAACTGCTGGCCTATCTCGATGCACCTGACACGTATTTGTAAGTTTAATCATCAACACTTACTTAACTGCTCTGGAATGTTAAAAGTCATCTTGAATATTTATTAATCTCGGATAACCGAGCCGTGCCAAGTAAACCTTTTTATCGATTTTTTTACAGCATCGATCCAAATTTGAAGACTTTTGTATTATGCGCTGGCATACGAGCATCAGACACTTCCACGTGGAATAATTTGTATGCCAGATATCAACAAACCACCGTCTCCGCCGAAAAAACAGAAATTTTAACTGCACTTGGATGTTCGAACAATAAGAACATTTTGAAAAATTATTTGCAACTTACACTTAATGATTCCGCTCTTGAATCTTCGGTATCTCCCTCTGTATTTTATGCTGTTTATAGCGGCAGTGAAGTAGGCATCGATGTTGCGCTTGATTTCATCATTGATAACGCACTCGCCATTTTCGTTGCGTAAGTTTAACGAATACCGCAAGAAATATAATTTCTCATAGAGAATCGTTCGCTGTATTATTATTTTTATTTTCAATAGCGATGGTCACAATAAAAATATTGGTACTTACTTGACTGGTATTGGATATAGAATTACGACCAAAGAACAGTACGAGAAGGTAATCTGTAAATTTGAAATAATTTGAAAAATTATTATTTTAAGTTTTTTAAAAATAATTATGTATTATATTTTTAGTTGTCAACGTTTCTTGAGCAACAAGTCAGCATCGTTGCGGATACAGGCGCCACTGGTATTGCTTACGCGAAAAGTAATCTCCAATGGATCGAAAAGCATGAACCAACAATCAGAGGATGGTTGAAAGAATGGACTGACATTAGTACAGAACCCGGTACAGAACCCAGTACAGAACCCAGTACAGAATCAGGAAATTCTGCGACTGTTTTTACAACCTCCTTAAGCCTTAGCATGGTTACGCTTCTTCTTCACTGTATTCAGTGACAGTGGAAGAACTCATTAACACAATGTAAATTCATTCCTAATGAAACTTAATGGAGACTGGTTCATTTAAGTATCGCGACGTAATCTTCTTTCCCTTTGACCATATGTTTATACAAGAAATATAACAAGATGATGTAATAAAAAAAAAAATTACGAATTGGTTTCCATTCATGGTCATTTATTTATTATTGCATCTTACAGCAAAATCTAAAGGGTAACAGATTATTTAAGGTAACTACAAATATTAGCAATCGACAATACATTTATAAAACATTAAGAAAATAGAACTGTCATATGAATTATTCGGAATTGTGAATAAATATAGTGTCGCTTCAATGAAAATTCGTAAAACCTCAAATTCTTCTTTAGAACGATGAGTATGCTAGATTTCAAAGGGAATACAATTTGAAGTGGTTTTTTTAAGAACTATGATAAATGACAAAGAAGGATTAATTGTCGCATGAGTACAGAAGTATTAAGTATCGTATTACAATTTACAGTTAACAAATCCTTATATTGCTGATAGATTGAAATAGCTGAAGTTGTTCATTACAATTTTCCCGACTTTGTCTTAGAGGAACACAAACGCGGCCAAAAATAAAAATGCAAATATTGTAATCTATGTCGACGTATTAAAAAAATTTATTACTTCAAAACACGTTAAAAAATGAACCAGGTATAGACACAGTGCCTACATCTGACAGCTTTAATGACACCTGTACTGCTATATATAGAAACAAGTGACGAGCAAAAAGAACTATGTTTGGGACCCACAAGTGGCACGCCAGTTCCAAGCACTTACAACCTGACAGTAGGCTGTAAAAGTTCGTAAACTTTTAGTTTCTATATTATCCAATCCACGTCAATAACAATATTAATATTATGAACCTACACGTTGCACTACGCCTATTCCAAGCACAGCGTGGCAATGTCAAACAGTATGTCCACTAACTGGAAGACGTATTATGCACAGAGCAGAAAAATTCCTGAGCGGAGAGATTGACCACACCAATGCTAGGAAGTAAGCACAGATGCACGACTGTACTTTATTAACAACGACAGCTATGCTGACTTCGTGTCACTTAACACCAACTGTTGATACAGAAATCTTAAATATACATATATCTGCTTTTATGTACGTAACAGGCAAAAATAAACATTTCATAAATAAACATTTCTAGCATTACAAGCATATAAAAGACTTTTGAGTGACTTAGTCCACATGTACACCGTTCTCCTACTGGACAGGACAAGTAAAGAATACATTGTAATTAAAACTAATTCGGTTGTAGATCAGCGGTTAGTAATCAACAAAAAATTGTTTCAAAGATAATTTTTAATTTACGATATTCAGAAAAACAAGTCAAAAAAAAACTCTTATCATGAGAATTCTTCTGGGAACGATCCTACTGTTGGCCGCCGCATCTACAGCTTCTCTACTGGATGGCAACGATGCGATTGTTGACAGTGCCAATACTACTAACTATAGATTGCCAAATAATTCAGTGCCAATTTCATATTCTATCAAATTGATACCATACATCATCGTAGACAATTTTACATTTGCTGGAGAATCTACGATTAAACTTGAAGTTCTAAAATCAAGTTCTTCGATAACTCTTCACATACTAAATCTTACTATAGACGAGACTGCAACATCTTTGGTGTCCAGTGGTAATAAAAACCACAAAATAGCCAGTCATACTTACGATACCAAAAAACAATTTTTGATTTTAAATTTCGCCACCCATTTGTCAACTGGATATTATACCCTGCATTTGAAGTATGTTGGTATCCTAGACAATGAAACTTTGAGTGGTTTCTATAGAAGTTCTTATACCAACGACAATGGTGAAACTGTGTATGTATATCACTACTGTATATCTGTCTGTATTATTTAATAGAGCTATATTATTCTGCAAAATATATTTCCAGCTGGTTGGCTACCACACAATTCGCACCAACTGCAGCGCGTCGAGCTTTCCCCTGCTGGGATGAACCTGCACTCAAAGCCACCTTCACTATTTCTATTAAACACGATGTTAACTACACGGCGTTATCAAATATGCCAGTTGCCAATCAATCGGCAATCGACAAGACTGATAACAAATTATGGACAACTTTCAAAAGAACACCCATTATGTCAACATACTTGGTGGCTTTTGTAGTTTCGGATTATGGATACGTCAGTAACGCCAATGGAACATTCAGAGTATGGACTCGCAAAAATGCTCTTCGTGGTGCAAATTATGCATTGACTCAAGGAGAGTCGGCGTTAGAATATTTAGAAAAATACACGTTGATTCCGTTTGCTATACCGAAAATGGATCAAATTTCCATCCCAGATTTCTTCTACGGTGGCATGGAAAACTGGGGCTTGGTTGCCTACAGGTAATATCATAAACGATTGTTCATTACATAATGTCCTCCTAATTTTTATCATGCATACAGAGAATCAGATTTGCTATATGAAGACGGCGTAAATACGATATTTACAAAACAAGATGTTGCTAGACTTATTACTCATGAATTTTCTCATCAATGGTTTGGAGATCTTGTCAGTCCATCCTGGTGGAAATATATTTGGCTGAATGAAGGCTTCGCGACTTATTTTGAATATTATATCACAGACCAGGTACAATTCTTAATAATTGTCCAAACTCATAATATAATTAATCATATTTAATTGCTTTAGGTGCAAAACAATTGGCGCTTAATGGAACAATTCATAGTTCGTGATACACAACAAGATGCCTTCATAACAGATTCTTCCAACACCACCCATCCATTGAATCAGGATGCATCCACTCCGGAAGAAATTAATGCACTTTTCGATACAATTACTTACGAAAAAGGTACAACTGTTTTTCAGAAACGATTGATTTAAGAAAACAATTATAAAATAAGACTTCTCTATGCACGTAGGGGCTGCTGTGATTCACATGATGTCCAATTTCCTGACGCCCCCCATCTTTCGCGCTGGACTCACCAGATACTTAAATAATAAGTAAGTTTCTTAATTTTTAACCGAAAAAAAGTGGATTACAATTTGGATGATCCTGAGCTCATTTCTCAATATTATTTACAGTGCCTATGGGGCGGTCACATCCGATGACCTGTGGAGCGCTTTACAAGAGGTATCTGACGAATATGAAATTCTGCCGCCTGAGATTTGCCTTAAAAAGGTGATGGACACTTGGGTCGAGCAGCCTGGATTTCCACTGATCACTGTCACCAGGGATTATAAAACTGGAAAAGCTAATATCAGTCAGGAACGATATTTTCAATCTGGTGCTAGTGGTGACGGTACCAGATGGTGGGTTCCTATCAGTTACACAACTCAGTCTGATCTAAACTTTTCATCAACATCGCCTCGCGAGTGGATCCCTCAAGCGAAAAATAATATAGTCCTAAGCGGATTTAAGCCAACTGATTGGACCATTTTCAACATAAAAGAATCAGGTAAAACAACTCTTATCAACTTATACCAACGGATGTTGTACTAAGTACAAAAATTGTACGTGTCAATAAACTATTCGAAATCAATCAACAGGTTACTATCGTGTCAACTATGATAAACAAAATTGGAAATTAATAGCCAATTATTTGGACAGTGACGATTACTTAAAAATTCATCCCGTCAATCGTGCACAAATCATCGATGATTCTTATAACTTAGCTCTTGCCAATCGTATCAGCTTTTCTACATTTTTGGATATTTCGGTTTATATTCGTCGTGATGTCGATTACATTCCCTGGTATCCGATGTTGACCGCTGATAGTGTTTTGTATCAAAAATTAACGAACACCAGAAGCTTCTCATTATACAAGGTACATATATAAATGTGAGATAATTAATGTTAAATAACTCAATATACTTTAATCTGCTATCATTTTATTTATAGAGGTTTTTTGTGGAAAGATATGAGAAATCTATTGTTACTATCGGATATGATGAACACAATGACGATGAACATCTTGTGAAGTATCACAGAGCAGATATGTTAACGTTTGCATGCTACCACGGCAGCATAGAATGCAGATCCAATGCAACTGCAAGGCTGGTTGCACATTTGAAAGATCCAGTTGCAAACCCGTAAGTTATTACGTGATCGGTAGGAGGATTTAATTTTACGAAAATCTTATAACATATGATTAATTTCAGAATATCGCCCAATTTGAAAACATGGCTATTTTGCGGTGGACTTACGAGTGCAAATGCAACTGTGTGGAACATGGCTTTAAATCTTTACGCCAAGAGCCCTTCTCTTACCCTAATTGTTGTTCTTGGTTGTTCCGAAAACAAAGAAATCTTGACAAGATACATGTCACTGGCAACAACAGACAATTCGACGATACTCAAGAAGGATTCGTCTGATGCGTTTGCGTCCCTTTATTATGGCAGCGCTGAGAATATAAACTTCGCCTTGGACTACCTCATCGACAATTTCGACAAATTATATGCATTGTAATTAACTGTTAAGTCTGTACCTTCTTGACTTCTATAAATAGAATTATACAAGTACAAACTTTTTACTTTTTTCAGCTGGGACGCACCAACAGATAAGATGAC